ACGCAACGTAAGACGCAATGGCGCGTCTGTGTGTGCATGGGTCGCGTTTTGCCGCTTCCGCGCATGCGCGTGACATCATTTTGAGCATCTGCACATGCGCGAGCGGCAAAACCTGGAAGTAACGCACTCCATTACTTCCGGGTTGTCGCGGAGCGCAACTTGAACGCGCTCAACACAAAGCGTATTTATCCCGAGGTATGACTGTATATAGAGTGGTCAATGTTAGTGTTTGGTGTGGGTTGGTTGGATGGTAGAAAACTGGTTGCATTTGGTGTGTGTAAAAGCTGTCGGTCATGCTTGGAGAAGACGACTTTTTAAGAATAAAAGCAGCAATACTCTGCACGAATACTCTTTCTCAAAGACTCTTTTGTGCCAGCTAAGGTCTGAGGACTAGGCAAAGGAGTAAAAAGGAGGTCAGAACCTTTTCTTTTTCAAACACTTACAAGCTTGCTGCGATCTTCTTAGGGGTGGTAGTTAAGAGAATCACAGGGAATGGAAGAAGGTGTAAAAGGGGCCACAAGGGCATTTTTGAAATTCCCTTCATAGAACCATAGAATTGTAGAGTTGGAAGGGGTTCTCAAGGGCCATCTAGCCCAACCCCCTGCAATGCAGGAATCACAGCTGAAGAATCCCTGACAGGTGGCCACCCAACCTCTGCTTAAAAACCTCCAGTGAGGGAGAGTCCGCCACCCTCTGAGGGAGCTCATTCCATGGCCAAACAGCTCTTACTGTCAGATCATTTTTCTGATATACGTATTTGCATGAATTGTTAGCTGCCTTAGATGAGTATAAATCCAATTATTTAATTACAGTCATTCAAACCTACATTCACAGTGTTAACAAGTGATATATTTCACAAGAGGTTTTTTTAAAAAAACTAGAGGTTCTTTCAATTTTATTTTTATTTGTTAAAGCAAACACTCTTTTTTATTGCCTTGGGGTGCATTTGAAGGAAGGGTGGGATTGACATTTATGGTGTTATGAGTTTGTGGGGGCCCTGATGGTCATAAATTTGTGGGTCTAAGAAAAGTTAGAATTAATCAGTGCTTGGAGGGTTAAACTGAAAGTTAGACTTTAAATAGCTGGACTCAGCCTTCCCTCTCCAGCAAACCGTCTGACAGAGGAGCCATTAAAAGATTATTAAAAGATAGTAAGGAATGGTTGAGTCATTGACCAAAAACAGAGAAAGGTGCCTTCAGCAAGTCTAAAACTATATGCCCCAGCCTGCTCTCTGACATTCAGTGAGTGAACAGTCTGTGTACACTCAGACTAGTTGATCTGTGCAAATCAAGAAGTGGTTTTCACACAAATCTTTCACTCAACTCATTTCTGTGTAGAGATAGCTTGTGTTCAGTGTAATGTGTGAACAAGCCTTTCATTTTGGGCCTTAAAATCCTGGCAGGGCTTATGTACTAATATTTGCTTCAGCCATTTGCAACCATTTCATCTTTCTTCTCTTTTCCTTCCAGCCTCCATTCTGGATGGATGATGCAGACGTCCAGAAGGCCATCAGGAATGCTTGGCCACAGCTGGTGCACTTCCTCAGTCATCATCCAGAGTGGGTCCTGAGAAAAGCCAAGCAGCTTCTCCCAGGGGTGGCCTTGAATGAGATTGAGGGGACAGCCAGTTCCCATGAGAAGGTCTCACTGGTCCTGGACATGTTTCTGAAGGCTGCAGATGTCGATGCTCCCGTCTTCAAAGCCTTCGTACAGAGTGTCTGCATGGAATGCAACCTCCCCATGCATCTGGAAATAGTCTTCATGAGTGTGTCAGGAGAAGGTCAGAGGAGGGGTTGTGTCTCAGTGATGCTTTGCATGCTTTGTATTACAGAAAGCCCCGGGTTCAATTCCTGGTGGCCTCATGTGCCTTCAGGCCAAGCTTTTCAAGCTTTATCCCTGGGCATTAGACCCAACAAATCAGACATTTTTTATCCCCACAAAAACAAATGAATGAAAAACAAATGCATTTTTGTTCAGAACCAATGTGTCTGAATTCCCATTCATTCATTTCTTTTCCATACGTTTTTAAAGGCCAGTACACACACCCCGCATGAGATTGATGCAAGAGATGTGCAGAGTTTCTCCTCCCAGCTTTTAGTTTAAATTTAAAGCAGCTGAGAAGAAGTCTGGGCCAGTGGGGTAGTGGTCTGGGATCATGGACAGTCAAATCCCCATTACATTTTTTGCATCAAGGTTTATGTCTCCAGCTTCCTGGTGCCACCCAGTCAGTGCGGAAGGGGAGCTTTTTAGCCCCTGTATGCTGGAAAACAAAGCATTTAGGGACATGGAAGACACAAGGAGCTTCAGTTTCAAGTCAACGGGGTGCAAGTTCTGTTACATCCAATGCAAATTCATGGAAAGCGCAGCTTAAGTAAAACTGCCACAAGTTATTGAAGCGCTCCAAATCATTGTCTCTGGGACCTACACCAAAAATAGTAGCTCTTGCTCAAGGTGCTTTTTTCAGTTAAAAAGACACTGGGTTCCCAGATCTTGAAAAGTACTGCAATAGTGAAAATGCCTTCTGGTTCATGCCCTACACTGAGCAGAGAGTTGGCTGGAAGACCTCAATCAGCTCTCAATCAGCTCTCCATGTCCCTTCAATCAGCTCTCAAAATGCTTATACTGTACTTCCATATGCTGCTTTTAATTGCAACTGAAAGGGAATTCATGGTGGTCATGGTAGAGTCCAGCTGTGCCAGACAAGGAATGACCACCCTTTATATAAGCAATTCATCAGGTGTTGGGCTGGTATGCTGACTCCAGTGGTGTCTGGTGCTCATTGGTGCTGGTAGGGCGGAAGGCATGGAGCCCAACCATAGGTGGCGCCAGAGCCAGTGACGGGCAGATAATTGGGCAGGACTGAGGTTGGTTGGGCAGTGTTTCCTTTGCCCTAATGGGCCAGCCTCTACATAAATCTGGTACTAATGCACACAAATATACAGAATAAGCTTTGTTATGAAATACTGCCTCTTGCGCTGATTTAAATTGATGATTCCAGGTCAAGGACGAGAGGATTTGAAAGGAGCTTCAGCTTGCTTCCCGTCAACATCAACAAGTAAGATTGCTTTTTTAAAAAATTCTTTTTCTCCCCCCCCCCCAATTTTTTTTATTAGTTTTCCACATTTATAACAAATATAACATATAAAACACACAGAACAAAACACATTACAATTCTAAAAAAATAAAATAGAAACACATATTCCTTCTTATATTCATTTTAAATTCCTTTTTTTTATTGATACAACAAGAAAAAAAAACCCCACAAATACCAAATTACACACAAGAACACAGACACACAATTCTCTTAGCAAACAATAAAAACATATATTGGTCTTAACACTAAAGACCCAACCTCCCGTCTATTCCATATTTCAATTTCATATTACTTATTGCCAGTACACACTTTTATCATAATTAAACTTATTCTTAATAAATCTAATTTCTTATATCTACCTTGCAACTATTACTGAAGTTCCTCAACCCCCCCCCCAAAAAAAAACCCAAGTAAGATTGCTCTTGGTGAAATGCAATTGATGGTTTGAGCTAGGAGAGCTGTCTTGGGAAGGGCCCAAGTCAACCTTGGAGTAGAATGCTTGGACTCAATTTCCATTGAGGCTCCAGGCCCACTTCATTCCTCTGGCAGTGTTGGACTCCTGCTAAGGACCCTTTTGTTTTTGTGCACCTTGAGAAAAGCAACTGTTCCTGGTCAAGAAACAACCACACAATGCACCCACCCCAGTGTATTTTATTTTATTTTATTTATTTCATTGATGGAGGGGGGAACCCTCAACTGAGGGTTCCTCCCCTGCTACAGATTAGGGAATGGGACAGAGACAGTAATTAATTTGGGAAAACAGGGGCCTTCTCAGGGGCTGATCCAAGACTTTGAAACTCCCTTCCTAGAGAATTTAGACTGGCTCCCCTTTGTGTCCTTCGGTCAGCAGGTAAAGAGTTCCTTGTTCCAACAGGCTTTTGGGAACTGACAGTTTTTAAGGAAAGGACTGGTGCTCTGATGTTTTTATTGTAATTATCTGTATTCTTAATAGATCTTTTGTGTGTGTTTATTGTCTTTTCTATGTTCTTAGCTGTTTCTATTTTATCTGTAAGTCACATTGAGTCATGGTCTACGAAAAATGCAGAATATAAATAAATTGTGTGTGTGGATGCCCAATGATTACTTAGTTACAAATCAATCTGGCTTCTAAGGCTGCATACACACCCTACCCCCAAGAATCCTGGGAACTATAGTTTACTTATAGCACTATAACTCCCAACACTCTTACAAAGCACAGTTCCCAGGATTCTTTGTGGGAGGGTGTGTGTGCTTTAAATGTGTGCTGTGGATACATGTGCTGTACAATGATGATGTCAATGTGTTTTGCCAAAATTGTGATCGGGGGCCTGAGCCAGAGAGAAAGTCTCTTGCTGAAGCCCAATTCCTATGAAAGGGAGCTGGTCTCGGGCCCCTGCCATCTCCAAAGAGGTGATGCCGCTGTAATGTCACTGTTGCGTTTGTTGCCCTACAGGACTTGAAAGACGCCGTCCATGGAGCAGCCCTGCCAACAACAACAATGGCAAACAGTCCAAACAGCAGCGGCTAGGCAAGTTGTTATTTATCATCATCATCATCATCATCATCATCATCATCATTGTTTAATAAATTTATAAGTCACTTTTTCTTGCTAGGGCAACCCAAAGTGACTTACACAAAAACCCCAACCCCAACCAACCAACCAACCAACCAAACCAACCAACGCTCCACATACATACTTTAAAGGGGGGGAAGAAAGCATTAAGAAGTGTGCATTTTATGAAAGAATTGTGCAAAAAATGTGTACTCTCAGGCAGAATGGGGTAGAACAGAACTCTGACAGAATGCCAGCAAGGCTTAAACAAGATGGAATTGGCTGCTCAGCCCACCCTTAACTCTTTGTGGGTTTTGCTCTAATTCCCAACATTATTTGGCAGAAGCCATAGCAACAAAATTAGTTTTCATGTAGTGTGGATCTATATTTGCTCCTTTTTCCCTCCTCCATGTTTTATCAGATTCTGCTGAAAGATACCGACAGCTCATTACCACCTCGATGCTTCAGAGATACGGAATGATCAGAGCAGCAGAAGCAACTGAACCCAAAGCTCAGCCGTCGCCTTTCAGCCAAACCTTCGTCAACCTGGTGATTCGTCAGAGCAAAGGTGGTCGGATGAGGGAAAGGGGGGAGATAGCTCTGCACGATACAGAGGAGCACAGGAACACCACCCTGAGACTGTCTGAGCTTTTTGAAAGTGCCCACATGGGGACCACCAAGGTTGTCCTTCTTCTGGGAAAACCAGGGATGGGGAAGACAAGGCTTATGCACCAGATCTGCCAGCAGTGGGCAGAGGGAGGCCTCCCACAATTCCAGCTGATTTTCTTCTTTGAGTTCCGACAGCTGAACCTGATCAGCAGAAAACTTTCTCTCCAAGAACTTCTCTTCGACTTCTTCCTCAGGCCAGAAGATTGTCCTGATGCTGTGTTTGAACACATCCTAGAAGACGCCCAGCACACGCTGGTGATATTTGATGGGCTGGACGAGTTTGTGGAGAACGTCCAGCTCCCAGGTCCTCCTCACACTATCTTCCCAGATCCTCTCAACCCTCTCTCCATATCAGACCTTTTTGCAAGTCTTTGCCTTGGGAAATTCTTGCCAGGCTCGACCGTGCTGGTCACGACCCGTCCAAAGATAGTCCCGGATGCTTTATTGAAAACAGACACCCTCCTGGCAGAAATCTGGGGCTTTGACCGTGAAAAGGTGGAGGAATACGTTGGCTATTTTTTCCACCAGCATTCCCTCAAGGAGAAAGCCATCGCTCACCTCAAAAGCAATGGCAAACTCCTGAGCATGTGTTATATCCCCGCCTTGTGTAATATCATCTGCATTTGCCTGGAGTATCTGCTCCTCCATGATGCAGGGAGAGTCCAGCTCCCTCAAACCATGACCCAGTTCTACATCGAGATGCTCCTCACCTTCATAGGCAAGGATCAGAAGCTGAGGGCTTTGAGCGAAGAAGTCGACTTGAGTCAACACGAAGCGACTCTCGCAGGCCTCTCTGAGTTGGCCTTCAAGGGTCTGGAAGGAAATAAGATGTTGTTTTATGCTGACGAGGTCCCAGAAGACGTGAAGCATTTTGCTTGCCTGTATGGGCTCCTGGTGTCCTTTGAGGTAAAGACCAGCAATGGACACACACAGGCTGGCTACACTTTTGTCCACTTCAGCCTGCAAGAGTTCTTTGCGGCCCTCTTCCTGCTGACAAGCAAAGCAGTTGATGGCAACTTCCTGAAGCAGAACTTCTTCCTGAGGTCTAAGTGGACGATGAAGAGAGAAGCAAGGGTGCCCTTCACAGAGAACTGCCACATCTTCCTGTCTGGCCTCTCGTCTCGCGGGTGCCAGAAGTTCCTCAGCTCTTTAGCCGGGCAGTGCGATGCCCAGGTCCAGGAACGTCAAGCCATCATTGTGCAGATGCTGAAGAAACTGGGGGATGCTTCTCTCACAGGGCCTAGGATAGCTGAGCTGTGCCACTGTGTGCACGAGACACAGGACCAGGAACTGGCCCGGCATGTCGGGAAGCAGCTAAACTTCAGGTATCAGTTCAGAAACTTCCGGCTGATGCCGCTGGACATGGCTGCCCTGGCTTTTGTCATCAGCAGCAGCCACCCTCACTTGGTGTGCCTGGACTTTGTGGGATGCCCCATGGAAGTGGACTATCTGGATGTCTTTGGCAGCTGTGAAAATATAAAGAGCCTGAGGTAAGAAGCACAGGCCACCTTGACACGTCAGGCTCAAAAGAGGGCGAGGGATCAGGGCCCCTCCAAATGTTGCTGGACTGCAGTTCCCAGCATCCCTGACCATCGGCCACATTGGCTGGGGCTGTTGGGAGTTGAAGTCCAACATCTGGAGGCCAACAGATTCTCCATCTTTGCACAGATGAATAGGTGCACACTAGTCCTTCTTCGTCTTCTTCACCTCACTTTTACTTTGTCTACTGTCTTTCTCTATTACTATAACACATGGCGGCTTACAGCCTGAAGAAACAAAATAGACAACAAAGATTTCTTCCCCACCCACCAACACGAGCTCCCAGAGTGAGTTACATTTTAACAGTGTAAAAACGCAATGCTAAAAATCAGTTAAAAACAATTTAATAGGACAAAGTGTTCTTGCACTCATGTCCTGCTAGCAGGTTTCCCATTGGTGCATCTGGTCAGCCACTGTTTGAACAGGATGCTGGACAAGGTGAGTCATTGGGCTGATCCAACAGGCTCTTCTTACGTTCTTATGGATACAACTCGTTAAGTCATTTGAAGCAAGTCATTAATATGGAGCAACCATGGGGAAAGATGCTAGCCGCCTGCTGCAAGAATCAGGTGCTGAGCTCCTTATCCAGCTAGGCTGGAAGGGAAGACTGGTTGCTATTTTACTAACCACAGTTGTCTTTTGCTTTTATTCTTAGCTTTAGGAGCAGGAGATGTGGGAATGAGTTTGCTGCTGTCCTGTCCAAGACCCTGCCGAAGATCAAATGCCTGACAACTTTCCAGTAAGCATTGCCCCAATGTCACATGCCCTGTTTTGAATCTTTTAGTGCAGTTTTTAATTCAAACCACCAGCTACATTTTGAGGAATAGCGTCCGCAATGTAGAAGTGAAACTTCAGTGGCCCTCCATAAGCTTTAGATTGGCTCATCCAACATGTGTTGTTTCAGCAACAGCCAGCTCCAGACTGAGCCTTATATAGGAGTGACAGCTTCCTTTCAGTTGCCAGCTCCGCCTTTGGTGGGAGCAGCCTCTCCATTTTAAAGGGCCCCAGGCTGCATAAACCAGCATAGACTCTAAAGATGGTTGCTCCTCAAAGAACCTTCATATTAGCTAATTGTAAATGAGAGGGGGGTGGGTATTTCTGTTTTTTTCCTATGCTCCTTGCCCACAGAAGAGCTATTATTATTATTATTATTGTTTATTAAATTTATATCCTGACATTCCTCTCAGAGGAGCCCAGGGTAGTGAACTTGAAAATGTTTAAGCAGCACAATGAAAACAGCACTTTTTTCTTTAACTATTTAAAAAAACATATAAAAATATTTTGAAGGATGATGAAGTTTTCAGAATAGGACCTAGGAGAACTGGGTTCAAATCCCAGCTGAGCCATGAAGCTCACTGGGTGACAGGCGCCCATTTGTGAGGGAGATGGGTGTGTGTGTGATATTGCCACCGACTGGGGGCTGCTTCCCCCACCTTCCCCTCTATGGTAGGAAGAGAAGGAGGCACTAGTCATTGAAACCACACTGTTGCTGCAATCCTGACTCCTCTGATTTGACATGACATTTTTAACATTGGGGGACGGGGCGGGGCTGCCCCTTTCAAACAAATAAGGGGGGGCAAAAGGGTTCAGCCCCCAGGTGTTGGCACCCCTGCTGCATGACCTTGCAAGCCAGTAACAGGCTCTCAGTGGGCCCTAACTCACAAAGTTGTTGTGGGGATTAAATTGAGGAGGGTGGGGAGAACTATGTATGCCACCTTAATTTCCTTGGCTGGGGGAGGGGGGAGGTGAAATACAAATGCAGTAAGTAAGTAAGTAAGTAAGTAAGTAAGTAAGTAAGTAAATATAAATGGACTCATGCACCCTCACAGTTGTTAATTTCTTGGTTGCCACAGCCAATTCCTATCAGCCATCAAATGGCTATCAGCCAACAAACAGGAATGTTTCTAAATTTCTCATGAAAGTCAAAGTGAGGGAGATTGATGCACCTCACTAGTGAGAGTGCTCCACAAATGGGGAACCACCACTGAAAAGGCCTTGTCATGGGTCAATGCCAACTGGGCAGTACCTGGGTGGGACCATCAATGAAAGGACCTCCCCTTCCAATAATGGGGCCTGAGGGGGTTGATACTGGGAGAGGCGCTCTGTTAGGTATCTCTCAAACTGTTTGTTGACATTACTATAGTGATGTCACATTTGGTTTTTCAGGTTAGCCGGTGGAAATATTTCAACCCCAGGACTTGAAGATCTGATGCGAGCTTTTCCAAACTGCCATCAGCTGGAAGACATAAAGTAATTTCACCTCTTTTGTCAAGGAGAAAGGTGGCCTGGTGGCCTGTTTTATTAATCAGATGAATGTTTGGGAGGCATATTAACCAGTTGCCACATTTTAGCTTGCAGGACAACAGACTGAAGAGGCAGGAAATGATCAAAACTACAGAAATATTTTCCACTGTGGATAAGCTCAAAAAGCTTGAGTAAGTACATAATAAAAAAGGAAAGGGGGGAAATGATTCTAAAAAGGAAGTTTCAAGTAATAGTAATACTGATAACAGATTAGATCAACGGAACTAGAAAACAAGTAGACCTCATAAAATTACATGTCTGGCTGGGCATCCCAACCAGTACAGTGAAGACACCTGCCATATGTCAATAGGCAGGGAGTTCCAGAGCACAGGAGCTGCCAGTCTAAAAGACTGATGCTGTAAGAGGCTTAGTGGATGTGAAAAATCATCACACCCATTGCAGACCATCTGTGTTTTAATCTCTGTGGTGGGGATGGAGGGAGGGAGGAAGAGTTGGAAACCTGTATGCCTGCATAAAAGACCTTGCTGAGGCATAGCAACAGCAACATTTTGTTTTCTCTCAAACAGCTTAAGCTACAACGAGCTTTCAGTGAGCACCGTCCTTGCTTTTTCCAGAGCTGCTGTTGTTTGTCCAAATGTGACCAAGCTCCATATCAGGTACTGGCTGCCAAGCGCTGCAGAAGAGATTTTTCTCATTTCCACCTTTTCAAATGCTCCTTTTCACTTCTGCAACATTGAAGCTAATCTGCTAATACTCTGATGTAATCTGTAGAACCTATGACTAAGAAGTGAATAACCTGGGCCCGTTTCAGTCCGGCTTCAGGCCCAGTTTTGACCCGCAAGAGCCTTAGCTGACTTGGTTGATGGACTTTATTGGGCGAGAGAGAGAAGGGAGAGTGTAACCCTCCTGTTTCCCCTTAGTCTCTCAGCAATTTTGGACACCACTGATTAGGGTATTCTCCTGGAGCAGTATAGTGGGTTGCGGGAATGAGGGATGTAGTGAAAAGGTGATTCCACTCCTACCTAACACATGAACCAACTTCTAAGAATAGAATGTATAATACAAAGATATTGACAATATTTTTCAACATGTAGCTAACTGGTTTCCACCTCATGAAAGCATTGTGGGGTATAAGCCGTCTATTACTTTCCATTTTTTCCTGCTCTCGCCTCCTTCCACATGCCACCCAAAGCTGCTCCTCAGTAGGAGTGGTGGAAGACTGATTCAGTTTGCATTTCACAGAATCATAAAACCTTAGAGTTGGAAGGGACCCCAAGGGTCATCTAGTCCAACCCCCTGCAATGCAGGAATTTCTAAAGCATCCATGACAGATGGCCATCCGACCTCTGTTTAAAAAACTCCAAGGAAGGAGAGTCCACCACCTCTTCCACTGCTGAACAGCTCTTACTGTCAAAGAGTTTCCCCCCGAATGTTTAATCGGAATCTCCTTTCTTGCAACTTGAAGCCATTGGTTCAAGTTCTACCCTCCAGAGCAGGAGAAAACAAGCATGCTCCCTCCTCCATGTGACAGCCCTTAAGATATTTGAAGATGGCTATCATATCTCCTCTCAGTCTCCTCTTTTCCAGGCTAAACATACCCAGCTCCTTCAAGCACTCCTCATAAGGCAGCGGTTCTCAACCTGTGGTCCCCCAGATGTTGTTGGACTACAACTCCCATCATCCCTAGCTAGCAAGTCCGGAGCTCGGGGATGATGGGAGTTGTAGTCCAACAACATCTGGGGGGACACAGGTCGAGAACAGCTGTCATAAGGCTTAGTTTCCGGACCCTTGATCATCTTGGTTGCCCTCCTCTGCACACGTTCCAGCTTTCAACCTCCTTCTTATATTGTGGTGCTCAGAATTGGACACAGTATTCCAAGTGTGGTCTGACTAGGCAGAATAGAGTGGTGCTATTACTTCTCTTGATCTGGACACTATACTTCAGTTGATGCATCCTAGAAACAACATTCTGTTTTGCACTTTTCAAAACATCATGAGGATTGAAACACAGCCATCCTTCAAACTTCACATTTCTCCAAATATTCTAAAGCAGTTCTGCATCCAATTAAATCTGTACAAAAATGTAGGTGGTAAAATGTGCATAAAAATGTATATATTACTGGGGGGAAATTAGGTTTGTGAGAACTAATTTATATTCATTCTAAAGCAGATGGAAAATATAAATATTAGGGAAAATGTGCTTTGTAAAAATGGTAATATTAGGAGAAACTCCCACTAAAACACTGATGACTTTTCATGAGGTCTTTGCAGTCAGTTACAGCAGTAAAAATGAGAAACTGTGAGGAACTGAAATTGACAGAATCACTCACTGCTACTCCTGAGAGTTAGAAGCTCCTCCAGAATGACAAGTGATTTTGCACAGGGGCTGTATTTTCACGGGATGGAGAGGGGAGGGAGTTGATGAAAGCAAAGACTGCAGTCAGAACTTGCACAGTCCAGAGCTGTGTTCTGTTGGGGAAGGATGCTGTAGGAAGAGCTTGAGTCACTGGCGGAGAAACGGCAGATTTTGGCATTGTGTTCAACTCAGTATTAACTAGGGATGGAAGGATCTGTCCATTTCAGTTCTCCTGGCTTCTCATTTTTTCAGCTTTAAATTCAGCTCTCCACATTTTGGAGCAGTTGGTTGTTTTTTAAAGTCCTCATGAAAATTCATCAGTGTTTTATTGTGAAGTTACCTTTAACAAGTACGTTTTCTTATGCAGTCTTGACTAATGTGCACATTTTTGCAAGCTATTTCTCCCAATATATTACTGTATGTTATTTTCAGTCATATCTTCCATTTTATTCACACTTTCCCCTAACACATGCATTTTTGTGAACATTGTTTGGCCTCAGAGCTGCATCACAAAATTCAGATAAGTGCAAATTTCGAAGGATGGCTCCATTTCGGTTTGCATATTTTTCCCCCAGAAATTCTGAATTTGATAGTTTGGCTTTGAATTGATTTTCTCCTTCAACACTATAATAACGTTACTGCTTTCATCTATTTTTTTTTTTGAGGGAGTTTCAAGCATTAAGTTTCCATTTATTCACTATTTGTTTACAGGAAGGATGTTTTGATAGTCTCCTTCACTGGCCAATTCAGTAAAAGTCAGAGGTGAGAGAAGTGGCTTTTCAGGTGTCCCCAGAACATTCTGAATCATGCGGTGGAATTGGTTTTAGGGAAAGTTTGACTGGGATGAACATTGCAAAGGCACAAATGAAGAGGAGACAAGAACTGTTGTGTGGGTTGCTCTGGAGACTGGAACAAGGGTGGGGTGGGGTCAGTGGCAGGAATTTCAGAAGAAGGAAGACGAGAAAGTACTGAAACCTGGGTGAAAGAAGTTGCAAACGACCCAGAAAGGTCCAAACGACATTAAATATGCCTTTGCATAAAGTTCTGGTTTTTTTGCAATGCAAATTGCATCACGGGGGGGGGGGCAACTAATGGGGATCAGAGCAGATGTGGGGCACAGGGAAACTGAAGAACATAAAAGGAGACATGCATTGAATTTAACCCAGGCTTCCTCAACCTCGGCCCTCCAGATGTTTTGAGACTACAATTCCCATCATCCCTGACCACTGGGAGTTGTAGGCCAAAAAAGCATCTGAAGGGCCTAGGTTGAGGAAGCCTGATTTAACCCTTCCTTCTCCTGCTGTGGTCCTCAGGAAAAATATTTCCTCTGAAGATGGTATTTGCTTGGGAGTGGGGGTGGGGCGTGAGTAACCAATTGACACCACTGGGGGGGGGTGGATTTCCAGCAGTGCAGCTCACCTAATTCAAGATGGCAGATAAGAGAAGTCCACCTTTTATCAATCACCACCATTGTTGTTTTGACATTCTGGTGCATGAAAGACCAGGAAAACAAATTTATAAACGTGTTCTCGCTTTCAGGTTGAAAGAAGAGGGAATAAAAGAAGAGAAAGATGTCCCTAAGCCTAGCACTTTAATATTACGGTAAGTAAGTAAGTAAGTAAGTAAGTAAATTTAAGTTTGTGAGGAGCAACTGATATACATTGCAAAGTAGAGGAAGGGAGCCTGTGGCCCTTCAGATGTTGCCGAATTATTGTTATTTATTAAATTTCTATACTGCCCTTCATCTGAAGATCACAGGGCAGTTTGCAATATGAAAACACAATGATACATGACATAGTAGCAAATGAAAACAACAACCCTCCACCCCAGTTTAAAAAGCCATAGGCTGCTTAATAAGCTGAAGGCTTGGGAGAAGAGGAATGTTTTTGCCTGGCGCCTAAAGGTATGTAACGAAGGGGCCTGAGGAGAGCATTCCAACAAGTGGGAAGCCACCACAGAAAAGGCTCCTTTTCATGTTGCTGCCCTCTGGACCTCTCATGGAGGAGGCACACAAAGAAAGGCTTCAGATGATGACTGCAAGGTCTCATTCATTTCATATGGGGAGAAGTGGTCTTCAGGTGCAGTCCCTACAAATCCCATCAGCCAATGTGAGTTGGAAGTTCAGCAATGTCTGGAGGGCCAAAGGTACCCCATACCCATCTTAATAGATGTCTTATATCCATATATACAGATTGCAGGATTGCCAGTTTGATTCACAGTGGGTAGAGGAGCTGGCTGAGGTTCTCCAGAGGTGTTCCCACCTTTCTGAAATTGAGTAAGTTCCCTCTTCCACCCAACTGCCTGCTAACTGAGTGAGACCTTTGGATTAACCATGTTATTAAACTGTGGAAAACAAATGTCAGTTTGTCAGGTAACCGACTCGGTGATGAAGGATGCAGGAAGCTGATGAAGATGGTGCCCAGAATGTGCATTTCTGGCCCTCTGAAGTAAGTGTTTCCTGGGAGTTTGCTTGCACCAGGTTGGGAAAGGCTGCCTTCGGCCTACAAAGTGTATGTCCTGTGAGAAATATTGAATGTAGCAAACTTCCTTAAAGCAGGTCAGATTGTTTGCCCCTAACCCTTCAAGTAAGCTGGGTCTGTTGTGTCTGCTTGCACTAAGAATGCCATCTCTGTGTCCTCCGTGAGGGAAGTGACATGACTGGCCCATTTTCTGGTCTACCCCCTGGCGCACCCCCCCCCCCCCGAGAGAGAGAGAGGATTCCTCATATCTGATCAGAGAAGTGCTGGAGACGCAAGGAGGTGGAGGGAACGTTCTTTCATATGTGGTGGACTTGTAAAAGGGTAAAAGAGTATCGGGAAATGATCCATAATGAATTAAAAATGTTTAAAATTACTTTTCAAAAAACAACAACAAAAAAAACAGAGTCCTTTCTGTTGGGGATAATTCAGACTGAAATTCCCAGGTGTCAGAAAAGGTTACTTATGCATGCTATTACTGTGGCCCATGTTTTGTTAGCCCAGAAATGGAAAATGAGTAAGGTTCCAACCAAAGAAGAATGGCAACGTAAGTTGACAGAATGTGCGCAGCTTGCAGTCTTAACTTACAGAATAAGAGAACAAGAAGAACATGTGTTTAGAGAAGACTGGAAAATGTTTATTGAATATATGGGATATAATTGTGTACAGCTGAAAATTCTGGCAGCATTAAGATAATTTCAACAGCGTCAATAAGTTTTGATGGATGCAATAATGGAATACTGAACGGTATAGTTTTTGTAAAATATGCAGGGATTTATTATATGTGAGCCATGGAAAGAGAGGAAGGGAAGTCCTTGGTATCTTAAGGATGTAAAAATGAGTATTTTAAATTGTAAAACAGAAAATTTAATAAAAATTATAAATGGGGGGGAGATTCCTCTGACAGTCCACTCAGTGCCTCCTCTGGCCCCTCCCAGCCTACCAGGCCCTTCCCGGGAATCCAGTTCCTCCAGTTCCACATTCTTATCCCAATCCTGCTCCCCCTCTAACCAGCCCTGCTAAGATGTCTTCACAGGACTCACCACAACTGAGACTTTCTGCATTCAAAGCATGTGCTCTGCCTCTAAGCTATGGAGACTCCTTGGAGCAGATGAAGCTGCAATGTATTGGCTCAAACCATTGGTCTGGCTTTCACTCCAATTGAGAGAAACTTTCCAGGGTCACCAGCAGAGGTTCTTTAAAAAGGAAGCAGCAGCAGCAGCAGCTCTGCTGCATGCAATTATTTTAAAGTAGAAATTCAAGAGATTTAATATAAGAACATATAGCATATTTTACCATTATGTTATTAAAGCCTCCAGTAATGTGGTATTTATTGCTGCAGGACTTTCCTGAAGCTAATGTGTTTGGTTTTTTGTTTTGGTTTGGTTTTTTTTGTGATTTTATTTACTGCAGTTTAAACAACAACCAGCTGTCTCTGAACAGCATCTTCTGTCTCCTGGAGTCAATGAGTCTTTGTCCAAATATAGTGAAGCTTAACGCCAGGTAAGCATGCATTCAATCAAGAAAAGGTGCTCATCTCTTATTGACAACACAATCTCTCTCCCTCTTCCCCGCACCAAGTCATTGTGATATTCCATGGCATGTAGAAGCAACTTTTAGGCAACAGCTCTCTTCATTTCTCTCCTTTCCACTACATGATATGTAAAATTCTGTCAGCCTTGGTCTGTCCATTTAAAGCTTAGGCCCACACACTGAATGTACTTTTGCCTGGAAGGAAAGTGCCCTTCTCCTTAAACAGATACAGTGGTACCTCTAGATACGAACGGGATCCGTCCCGGAGCCCCGTTCGCATCTAGAGGTAAACGTAACTAGCGACGGCACATCTGTGCACGCTTGCATCGCTTTTCACCGCTTCTGTGCATGCGTGTGGCGTCATTTTGAGTGTCTGCGCATGCGCAAGCGGTGAAACTCAGAAGTAACACGCTCCATTACTTCCGGGTTGCCGCAGAGCGCAACTCGAACGCGCTCAACTCAAAGCATATTCAACCCAAGGTATGACTGTAGTTGCCTTTAACCTTGCATAAACCACTACACCACACTGGCTCTCGTACTGGCTAGTTGACTGCTGGGATGGAGAGATCTTTGGGAGATGGGGACTTTCCTAACAGTCTCGACAAGACCAGGGATGCTTGGTTTGCTTAAGGAGGCTGCAATGCCTTTAATGAAGCCAAGAAAACACAGGGAATGCTTGGGGGAGGACAAAGTTTGTATTTGGCCCCTCACCTTCCACCAACATCCACTGGCCATACCCTCTGCTCATTCTGTCATTCAGTTTAAAGCAATCCTGATGGATTTTATCCATTTTAGTTGTTTGATATATTACAGTGCAGTCATAACCATGTCTCCTCAGAAGTAACTCTCGTGGAATTTGGTGGGGTTAAACTTCCAGATGAGTGATGTTAGGACTGCAACTTTAATTAATCCTAGAATCATATGTCACCATAAAAGCATGGGACTTGCCCATGTTGAAGGGAACAGGGGCAGCAGCAGGCATGATCCCAAACTATATTCCATGCAGACGTCCCACCCTGATCCAAACTTTGTCCAGGGCTAGGAAAGAAAATAACAGCCCTGGTTTTACACTCTTTTTAGCCTCCTGTTCAGCAAGCAGATTTTGGGTTTGTGGGCAATTAAACCAGGTGTGGCATTATGGAAATCTCTCTCTCTCCTGTCTTTAGTGTTCATCACCAAGCTGCAATCTTGACCCTTGTTGGCAAAGACATTGCTGGTGGCGCTCAGCCCAGGTACGTCATCATAAACCTTGCTTGTAGCTTTCTGGAGTGAGAAGGATCACAAGCCCAAGTTCAGGTAGTCCAGTAAGCCAAGCCAAGGCTTTGTACACAGCAAAGCAGGAAAAGGTCTGGAGGAAGGGCAAAGCCTCGATGATCTCTTCTCTTGCTCTCTCATTTGCAATAAACCAAGGTTTGGCTTAGCCACACTTGCAAACTTGGTCAGTTGTGCATGTTCATATTGCTACTGCTAGACAGTTATGTCCCATCACAAACCTGTATATTTCCTTCCTTGCCCTTCCCAATCCCCCTTTAGTAATGCTTTCCCATTTTGTCCTTGCTGCAGGAGTTCCTCATTTAACACTGACCTGTCAAGCACAGGTGGACATCTCTTGGTGGCAACAGCGAGGAAAATATGGTACGGTGACCTCAGTTACTTCTGCTTACAGTTTATTTCTCTTAGTCGTATAATGGCTCACTGCATGTTAACATGGTTGCAAGGCAGGCTCTGGGGGTCTTATATCAGGGACACTGGCAGAGGGATCCAGAAGCCTTTTTCCTCTGCCTCAGCATGGTAGCTTTTCCTGAGAAGGGAGCTGTTGGCTGCTGGACTTCAGCACCACCACTGAGGATGGCCAGAAGGTGGTTTTGCATTTCTCGGTTCAGTAGAGGCCAGGTGGTGCAAAGGGCCATGGTGGTTTTACCTGGCCTTATAAAACTCTTGGCTGTGATCCAACTCCTCAGTCATTCAGGCACAGAACACCTGAGACTGCCCATCTCTGCCTGCTGGTCTGTCGGTAGGGATGGAGAGATCAGTTTATTTCTGGGTCCATGTCCATATTGTGTGTGTTCACTTGTAAGTCTGTTTCATTTCTGCATTAATGTGCAATTTTTAAAATATCAATATTAAAGTCCACATGTTTCTTTTTGTTATTTCTTTTATTTAAATAATTTCAGTGCCACTTTACCTCTCCAAATAATTTTAAAGTTGTTTACAGTCTATCTTAATACATCAGAACATCTGTGGGATTCTGTCCCCAGGCCTAGAGCCAACTTTGAAAATTATTCAGCATTTTATTGTGAAATTCTCCCAATGAGCATATTTTTGTGTATGGTTTTGACTTGTGCACACATTTTTCTAAGCAGTTTCTCTTAATATAATGCATGTCGTATATTGCTTTTCACTAACTTATTTGCTTCTATGCACCCTTTCCTCCTAATACCTGCATTTTTGTAAACACTGGTTGGTTGGAGAGCTGCATTGCAAAATTTGGATAATTGTGAATTTGGAAAGAAGGCTGTGTTTTGGTCTTTGTAGAGATTCGGAAAGTGTGAATTTGATAGGTTTGGCTTTAAATGGAATCATTTTTCACCCACATCCCTAAGCAGGGCCAGTAGTTAAGGTGTGGTGGGAGCTGATCTCTAATAACCTGTGGAGGTAAACCAAGTTAGGCTGGGAATGTCCCCTGCCTGAAATCCTGGAGAGCAGCTGCTAGTCAGTGTCAACAGTAGTAAGCTGAATGGACCAAACACTCTGACTCTGAGTCTAGAGCAGCTTCCTGTGTCCCTGGTGAAAACACACCTGGTTTTAGAGCACCTGGAGAATGATTTGCCTTCTCTTCCAGCTTGACGGACAATAATTTTCAGGATGGAGATCTGAAGAACTTGTGCTTGGCCTTGAGGAGGTGCACTGGTGTAACTGAGTTAGAGTAAGTTCCTTTTTTATTTTCATACTTATGCCTAGCACTGAATAACCAGGCTTTGGTGAACGTTGACATTCACACGCCAACACAAACAATTCCATGTAAATGTCATGAATGTCTGAAAAGGGTGTACAGGCACCCCTACTTTTGGGGTTCGTTGATGTTCCCCTTGCTGTGTATCATTCTGTCTTCCATGAGGAAGAATGGAAATGAAAATAAATTGTATCTAAGATAATTCATTCTGCCAGAAAAGCTATATGATAATGTATAAATACAAAGTGGAAAAGTAATTTTGCCTTCCTTTCAATTGTAGCTTGTCCAGTAATTCTCTGGGCGACGCAGGTGTCTTGAAGGTGGCTGAGCTCCTTCCTCATCTGAACGCATTACGTTCTTTAACGTAAGTGAAAGTCCAGGTTCTCTGTATTTAATTGACTGACAGGAGACAAATTGATGCAAGAGGAAAAGGGCCTTTTTGGTGGCTGCCCCCAAACTGTGGAACTCCTTGATCTGATTTATTAGATTCATATATTGCTTTATACTAAAAGAAGTCTGATATCAGTTTCCAATGTTTATAAGACAATAAAAATACTAAATAGTAACAACTTATTAAACAACACACAACTTCAGTACAATAACACTTGTAAAAGGACGTTCAGTCAAGTCTAGATTGAGTAGCTGTAACCATTCAATCAACGCTGCCCATATCTCTGGGATAATAAAGCCATTATTAGCTGGTGCTGAAATTATAGTCCAGCTGGTGCCAAGGGTGTATTCCTGGGGAGGGCGTCCCACAGATGGGGAGAGCTTTTGTGGAGGAGTCCTCAGGAAGCTCAGCTGGCCCTCATTCTTGCTATTTTTCAGCAGATGGTGAAGACTTTTAAAAAAGTCCTGGTAGGCTTTTGTTCTGAGTACATAATGTTACTATCTCATGATTCTGTCTCATCTGCTGAGCCTGTCTGTTTGCTTTGACATTTTATATTTGATGGAGTGTATTATATTACTGTATTGTTACTGACATAATGGTTGGTGGAGGCAGTGTGTGCCCATAGAACTCCCTGCACATAGAAATGAAGCATTTCAAGGGGAGAAGGCAAGGCGGTGAGCCTTCTCTCTGAACTGCTACTTTTCTCCCTGTGGGGTATTATTTATTTATTTATTTATTTGGTATGGAGGATCTTTCAGTCGTGTGCAACCCAAACGTCCAGGCTGAAGTGGGATAGCCCAAATTATTGCCACCTCAGTGAGAATCAGGACTCCAGGGGTACATGCAGGATTTTCATAAGGATGGCAATGGGAACTCTCCTACCATTGGGTGATATCCCAGGTTTGCCACACTCTGAATAGCTCTAGAGTGCTGAGTATGATTAATTGGACATCATTTGTTGTGAATTGCAGGCATAGGGGGATTATGATTGGGGTTGTAGCCGGGGCGAAGTTAGTTAGTTAGTTTCTTGCATTTATATCCCATCTTTTTCTCCATGAAGCTCAAGGTGGCTTACATGTTGCATTTATACTCGCAACAGCCCTACTGGGGAAAGCAAGAGCTTATCAAATAAATCCCCACCTTTATCCAAGCTACAGCTTATGTAACAAAACCAACAGCACCCTGCTTTAACAATCCCAAGAAAACGAGAAACCGGAGCTCATTTTGGAAATGCATCCCTTAGAACAACCTTTCTCAACCTTAATGGGTCCCCAGATGTTTTTGGACTACCACTCCCATCATCCCTGCTGGTCCTAATGGGAACATGCCACCACCCAGTGAATCTCCAGCCACTAACAGGAGTGCTTTTGTGGAGAACTCAGCTAGCCTGGACCAGGGGCCTTGTAACAACATTTGAGGTCGCAGTACTACCAACTTCTGATCTGAGAACTTTCTATATAGCAGTTTTCTTCTGCTGCAGACTTGGGTCTCCTTCATGCTTTCTAGGCTGGATCATAACAACATGTCTATGGACGGGGCCTTTCGCTTGGTGCAATGCTTCGCTGACTTGGAACATATGACGTCCATGGAGCTATGGTAGGTCCAGCAGCTGTTTCTCCTGCCAGAGCAGTCCGAAAAATAATAACATTCCTGCATTTGGTCACAGTTTTGCTCATTTGACCCTCCTTTTTTTAAAAAAAGAATATTTTTATTAAATTTGTAGTAAAAAATACAAATGCAGATAAGCAGAACAAGCAAGAACCGTAAGCAATAACAACCACAACAATTTGGGACTACCCCTCCCCTCGGTACCTGTTTTTCCATCATATCTTCCCAATAGCTTATAAAATATCTCCAGTAACATTAAAACATTTATATATCATTTTAGGAAAAGGCACTATCGGATATACCTAATTGTTGACTAAAATGAAAAATGACTATATCTATGGTACAAAAGAGTAAAATTGAATCCATCTTTAAAAAAGAAGACTACAATACAGGGGTTCCTAGGGAAATATTGTTTGCAAAGATATTGGGGGGAAAGGTTAAAACAACAGCAACTGTATATCTAATTTACCAAGGTATTCTAACACATGTAGTTAAAACAGATTCAATCACATTCATGAATTCCAAATTGATATTCTAATCTCTTTCTCATTGCAGTTTGGGAAGCACCCAGAAAGTTCGCTTAACATTTGGGGAAAGAATAAGGTAAAGGTATTTCCTGTTGGTATACTTTGGGGTGGAAGACCATTGACCAGTGTGGTGCCGCAGGATTCTGTCCTGGGCCTAACGCTGTCCAACATCTTTATAAATGACTTGGGTGAAGGAAGGAATAGAGGGGCTGCTAATCACATTTGCAGATGACACCAAACTGGGAAGGGTAGCTAACACCATAGAAGATGGAATCAGGATTCAAGATGACCTTAACAGATTGGAGAACTGGGGCAAAACTAACAAATTGAATTTCGGTGGGGACAAGTGACAGGTTCTACACTTAGGCAGGAATAATCAGGTATACAAATATAGATTGGGGGGCACATGGCTTGGCAGCTATACGTGTGAAAATGATCCAAGGGACTAAGCAGACTACGAACTTAACGTGAGTCAACAGTGTGATGTAGCAGCAAAAAAAAGCTCATGATATTCTAGGCTGCATCAATGAAAGCATAGTGTCCTGATCAAGGGAAGTGATAGCACTGCTCTATTTTGCTTTGGCCAGACCCCACTTGGAATCCTGCATTCAGTTCTGGGCACCACAATTTAAGAAGGATATTGACAAGCTGGAACATGGGCAGAGGAGGATGACCAAGATGATAAAGCGTCTAGAAACCAAGCCTTACGAGGAAAAGTTGAGGAAGCTGGGCTTGGTGTGTAGCCTGGTGATATGGGAGTTATTTTTCAAATATCTGAAGGGCTGTCACATGGAAGATGGAGCAAGCTTGTTTTCTGCTTCCCCAGAGAGTAGGACCCCACCAAATTAATTCAAACTACAAGGAATGATATTCCTAATCAACATTAGGAAGAACTTTCTGTGGGTAGATTATATTCTACAAAAAACAGTGATTGAAAATGGAGCGATGGAGAAGAATGAGGGATTCATAATGCACTGGTTTTTCACTCCAGAAAAAAAGGACCAGGGCACTCAGATTTCCAGTCTTCCCCAGGGTAGAAATCCAAGTGAAGAAAATATTGGAAGCATAATCTAAATGTCCCTTCAAGTTGACTAACTTGGTAGATTTTCTTTTCAGTCCCCAAATGCTCCGTGTGACTGGTGAGCATAGGAGGGAGCTGCTGGATTCGGTACCTAACTCAATCTATGACCGCTGCTTTTGGTAAGGTGCTTCTCTCTGCGTCTCTCTCTCTCTCTCTCTCTCTCTCTCTCTCTCTCTGCCCCTGTGTTAGGAGTAAAGCAGCAATGTAGTGTCTGCTTGATGGTAAAGTGGATTACTTCTATTGCATGCCATCTTTGAGAGGTGAGATACTCCAGGGGATCCGAGTGCTTATCCTGGCTTCTGTTTCCTTGGAATGAAGTATTTTTTGGGCTTTATTTACATATATATATATATAGGGCTTTATTTACATATATACACAACCTGAGCATTGGATGGAGGGGCTCAAGGGTGCAAATGAGCATCCTTGCAAGGCAGCAGATCAGATCCCCAGAGATCCCTTCTGCAGCAATCAGCATTTAGCCAGCTGCCTCCCCTTCTTCCTTCTCTATTGCAAAACTGTTAACATGGTCACATTAGCAGTAAAGGTGCCACCTCCCCCAAGCTGTACTGGATATCTCATTTGGAAACACAGGGGGAGTCCCAGCTACAAGAAGACCATCTCATAACCACTGGTTCTCATTGGTTCCCACTGGACTACTTGCCAGGAACCTGACAAAGGAATAGTCAGCTAGCGGCCATAACAGGATCTCCCAAATGTTCTTTTATACTTTCAAAAATATTGATATTTGTGTTCTGCTTTTTTCAAGAACAAATGCTGAGCTCAAAGTGCCTCACAATAATCACAGTAGCATTTAAAAACAACAACACAACACTGCAATTACTGTAATATCATTTAGATGCAGTAGCATCTAAATAAAGCAAACAAACAATATTCCTTTTCTTCCATTGTTGGAATCCTGCACAGACTTACAGAAAATACCTTTTTGTGTTTTTAACAAAAATAAAAAATGATGCTTGGACTTCAGAAGTTAGCCTGGATCTTAGTGAAAATGATATTGTTTCAGCATTTTTTTTTAAATTTTTACTTTATTATAAGTATTTTATATTGCTTCAACATTTTGTTACTACTACTACTAACAACAATAATTATTAATTTGTTTCAACATTCCCCCCCCCCACAAAATATAATTACATTTTACTGATGTTATAGGTTCCTGAATAAAGGACATGCACAATCCCTCAGTTTAACTCATCTCTTTCTCCAATAGACCCATCAAATAGAACTAAAGCTGTGCTAAACTTTGATTTAAATATTTGAAGTGCTAAACAGGCTCTGTGTTTCAGTCTCAAGGAATGTATGATGGACCTAAAGGATGTTGACCGATTGTTTAAACGTCTAAGTACATGTTCCGGACTGACCAAGATCAAGTAAGTGATCAGGGTCAAGAAGGCATTGTGTGAATGAACCAATCCTATTCGTTTAAAGCCCATAGACATGCTCAGTTTATGTAGCCAGATTAATACAATAAGAACGCAAAACTAAATTCCTATTGGTATCCAGTGTTTTAATGCATAATCCTCCCATAATGCAATTTGGGAATAGGCTGCTCTTTGGTAGGAAAAAATAATGCAAGTGAATATAGGATGAGCCTGCCTAAGGCAGATTTTCTGGAGAGGTCCTTCTTGCAGCTCTGTCCAAAGGCTCATTTGGCAGGGACATGAGGCAGGGCCTTCACAAAGGCTGCACCCAAAGTTTGGAATTCCCTCCCCAGGAAGGCCCGCCTAGCCCCTTTTATGAAGCTGTTGGGCATGGCTTACCCCCATCATACATGTTCATAGTAGACTTCCTTCTTCCAACATGTTTGTAGAACATGTGGCATAGTGGTTAGAATGTTGGCCTAGGACCCGGGAGACCAGGGCTCAAGTCTCTACTCAGCCCATGTAGCTGACTGAGTGACATTTGGTCAGTTGTAGTCTCTCAGCCTGGCCTACCTCACCTGGTTGTTGTGAGGATCAAATGGAGAAGGGGAAAACCATGTACTCCACAATGCGTTATGCAAAGGAAAGGTGGATATAAATGTTTTGGTAATAATAATGTTTTGAATTTTCCACCCTGGCTGTGTAGCTTGTCTGGCAACTCGCTGAATGATCAAAGTGTTGAACGACTTCTGAAACTCCTGCCCTACCTCAACAGTGTGGAGCTCTTAAGGTGAGTCTGGGAGCCTCTGCTGGAGAACTGCTACCAGTCAGAGTGGACATTGTTGGGCTAGGTGGCCCAGCAGTCTCACTCAGCCCAAGGAAGCTTCATGTGACAGATCCCCAGGGATGACCCAAATATGATTATTTCTGTTTTCCCCTCTCACAGACCAAGGCTGCCAGAGGCAAATAAACCCACAAACATCTTTCCTATTCCCTGGCAATAAAAATAAAATTGGTAATAATAAAAATACATGAGAAGATTCACAATTCATTGCTCTTTCATGACACGCAAATGCAGCTTGCTGTCTGAGGAGGCCACTGCACTCTGCCAAATGATAGGGCCGGCCCTTCTATCTTTTAAGATGGTGGGTTGGAGGAAGGATGTTAGGTAAATATCATGAGGATCTGTTCCTTGGAACGAGGGGTGGGGGAGAATTGGGGAAATGAGAAACTGAGGGAAACTGAAGTGGACAGATTCACCCATCCCTACTTGGTTGGGACTGATGGGAATTGTGGTCCAACTGTAGTCCACATTGGTCAAAACTGCCCTGATTTGCTACATTATATTCCCAATACTGGGAAACACTTAAGTATGGGCTGATTCACTCAAACCATTTTTACATGGAATTTTCCGTGGTCAACCCTAACATGTTGACCCCCTTTTTGGTACACTGTCTCATTCAGTGAGTGTTAAGTTCTTTGAGACAGAATCATTGCAACTCAGCCAACATCTGAAAAAAGCTTCTTGGAGATGTTGAGATGCCACCTTGGTGTGTCTTCTTGATACACTCACAAAACACACCAAGAAGTAAATATGTTTTTAATTTGAATTTGGTATCATGCATGCTTTCAGAATTATAAGTCACTTTGAGACCTATTTGTAGTAAGTAATAAATAAATGTAACAAATAGTAATAGAAATAATGAATTACTGACCTTGCTGATTAACTGCCATATTTGCAATGGCTCCATATGATCTATTGACAGTTGGGATCCACAGACTGATTTTCAACTCAGCATTTGGACATTTCTGCTTCTTCCCACCTCTCTCCTACAGCATCACAGAGAGCAAGTTTTCATCACATTGTGTTTGCTTGCTGGCCAACTCAGTTAACCAGTGTAAGAGAATCTGCAGAGTGGAAGTCAGGTAAGAGGGCCAAGACTCCAGGAATATCAGGACATGAAGAACTTCTGACCTCCTCTCCCTTTCCAACTTGATCCCCAAGAGTCAAAAGAACAGAGCCTTCACTCCTGCTGCAATTCTAGGTGAAGAAGCTCCATAATATTAATCCTTAGATCAGTGAAACCATCCATGGCTACCAGCCACAATGGCTATGTTCTGCCTCCAGTGTCGGCAGCATCCTGCCTCTGAATACTAGAGAGGAGAGCACTGCTGTCGTGCTCAGGTCCAGGCTTCCCATACACATCTCATTGGCCACTGTGAGAACAAGATGCTAAACTAGACAGGCCATTGGTCTCCTCCAGCAGGACTCTTCTTAAGTTATTATGTTCTTAATTCCATCCCTTTATTTCTACAGTTTTCCTTTTCAATGCACCCAACAGCTGCAGAAATTCAGTGGAGTTGACTAGAATACACAAAACGGCAGATGTTCTCCTGTGATTTCTTTGGGATGGGCAATTGGATGTGCATCCTCCTTGTTTAGCACCCCCCCCCCGAAAGTGAAGTGTGTGGAAATCAGAGATGGGGGAGGCAGGGATCTGGAATAACCTTAACTTTAATCCAGTCAGCCTCAGCCACAATAGCCAGTCATCTGGGAGGATGTGGGTTGTAGTGCAATAACGTCTGGTTGAAGGCTGCCTCAGTTCCTAGTCAAGGTATTTCCTTGTGTGTTTATAGATCAAGTGAAAATGCTTTCCTGCATTTTGTGAAAAGTAAAGAAAGCCAAGAAATATGCTGCAGGTATGTGCATACCGATAATCCTTATTTCATGACAATTTTGCTTCCTTCAAACATGCTGAGTTTTCCCTCCTGGCCCTTTGGAAATCCTCCTGGATCGTTGGCTTTGAGCATGTTGTTCTCAGTCCACCTAAATAAATTTAGAAATGCTCATGCTCTTGAAGGATGAGATAAACTTCACCAGCATTTATCATTTTCCTTTTACATTTCCATCATCTTTCATCATTTTTTAAAATTATTATTATTATTATTATTATTATTATTATTAATTTTTAAATGACTAACCTCTAACTTTCTTACTTGTCTGCCCTCTAACAGACTAACTGATTGTGGCATTGGCAAGTGGGAGATCGTAGAGCTGTGCCCCATCTTTGAGAAGTGTGACCGTCTTGCAGAACTGGAGTAAGTGTCATCTCCATTGTGACTACGAATGCATCAACCAGGATGAGCCAGGATCATGCCACACCTTTGCTGGAGGCTTTTGAACTGAGGTTGGGTGGCCATCTGTCAGGAATTTTTAGCTGTGATTCCTGCATTGCAGGGGGTTGGACCAGATGACCCTTGGGGTCCCTTCCAACGCTACAATTCTATGATTCTCTTATTCAGGCATTGCTGAGGCACTAACTTTGACTCACCATATAAATGTATAATGGACTGTTGTGGTGGTTTCTATATACAAATCCAGGAGAGCTGTCTGTTTATTTCCTTTTCAGTCTTTCTGGAAACCATCTTGGCAATGAAGGACTAAGTTGCCTCTTAGAACATTTGCCCAGGACCCACATTCCCTGCCTGATGAAGTAAGTGGGTTCAAGAGGGATAGCTATGGGATTGGGGGTGGGGGGTGGGAGGTGCCCTAAGCCCACTTCTGGCTCTTTAACTTGCACATGCACACTGACAGCTACTGACATTCTCACATCATCCCATAAAGTGCTTTCCATCATCTGGAACAAACTCTGAGCTAACAATAAATCTTGGGAAACACCTTCAAGAGAGAGCACAGTACTTGGAAAGCTTTGCGCTTGTTTTCCATAGGTTTGTATCTCTAAGGAACATCCAGCCTGTGAGGTGAAGGGTTGCACTGTAACTTGTAGTCGCCTCCTATGTTTCAGCCCCCCCCCCATTTTCTGGTATCCTATCCCCGGTGGAACATCATTCCAATGTTCAGGCTGTGTGTGCCGTTCCATATGCAGCCAAAATGGCTATGCCATTTAGGGGGAGCTGTCTGCAGGCTTGAAGGAATAACAAGGTTCTCAGAAGCACATGAAATATTTAAGGGGGAGCCCTAACCCGAGGGAACCCCCAAAACAGCCTAAGGAGGAACCCGTGTGTTCAAGGGCCTGGAACACTTACTGACTGTTTGCAAGGTGAAAATAGGCAGTGTTTGTGTGTCAGGGAGGGAGGGGGTCTAAGTATATTAAAGACCCTCCATCTTCCTGTCAAGATTGAGTACCTGAATGCCATTAGGTTAATGACTGGCACCCAGGAGCCACGGGAACATTGCCTGATCAGGGGTTAGGATGGTGGATATAATCTCAGAAAGGTTATAGAAGCACCATTTACATTCTGCTATCTTGTCCCCCTTTCTTTCTGCTATCCCTCTTGATCTGCTTTACAAGGGACAATGGACAAAGCAGGTTTTGCCTTGGGTGGGAGGTCCAGGCTGTTGAGTGGGTATCTGACCAGTCTTAGAAATGGAATGGAAAAAAACTGCACACACTGTTGTAGACCACACTGAAAAATAATCTGAAACATTTTCCTCTTCCCCCTTCTGCATAGAATCAACCACAACGGGGTTTCACAAGATGGCATTCTCCATCTCGCTCATGTCTTTGCCACGTGCCAAAATGTGGCTGAAGTTCATGTGAGGTATAATTGCTTGTAATTTCTCTCCCCCAAGCCCAACACATACAGCTTGTCCCTTGGAACTAAACTGGAGTTGGGGTGTGTGTGTGTGTACTTACACACACACACACACACACACAAATAATTTCTTATTTTTACCCCACCCATCTGGCTGGGTTTCTCTAGCCACTCTGGGCGGCTTCCAACAAAGATTAAAAATACATTAAAATGTCACACATTAAAAACTTCCCGGAACAGGGCTGCCTTCAGATGTCTTCTAAATGTCAGGTAGTTGTTTATCTCTCTGACATCTGGTGGGAGGGCGTTCCACAGGGCGGGAGCCAGTACCAAGAAGGCCCTCTGCCTGGTTCCCTGTAGCTTTGCTTCTCGCAGTGAGGGAACTGCCAGAAGGCCCTCGGCGCTGGACCTCATATATATGGTTGGGGGATAACTTAATACGAAAGGGTTTTTAATGTGGATTCAGAAAGGGGTGAACTTTCAGATATGGAGGCAAAGTTTACAGTTGCACCTAATGGGAGCATGGCAGAAAGCTTAAAGAAATGGGTGGGAGATAGAGGGAGTGGCTTGATTGACTGCCGTGCATGTGTGGAATGAAGAGACTGGGCACTTTGAGTGCTGGGGCTCCCACCATAAGCTCCTCCCTTCAAAGGCCACATTCATACCATGCATTTAAAGCATTGTGATACCACCTAAAGCAATCATGGCTCACCTCAAAGAATCATGGGAGATGTAGTTTGTGAAGGGTGCTGAGGGTTCCTAGGAGACCCCCTATTTCCTTCACAGAGCTACAATTCCCAGTGTGGTTTAATGGCCAGTCCCTCTTCTCAGGGAACCCTGGGAATTGTAGTTCTGTGGTGGGAATCTGGGGGCCTCCTGACAGCTCTCAGCACCCATAACAGACTACAGTTCCCAGAATTCTTTGGGGGAAGAAGCCATGACTGTTTAAAGTGGTGCCATAGTGTTTTAAATGTATTGTGTGACTGTGTCCTCACACCTTTCTCTAATCAAAAGCAATGGGTAGGCTTCAAATGTGTTTTCTGATATGCAGTCTAAGGTACTATTTGATCAGTCGGCTTTGCAATAATAGTTGTCCCAGTGCACATTTATGTTTCAAATGCCTCTGCTGTTCTGCATGAACATGGTTACAGTAAATAGTGTCAGAGATTAAAACATCAGTCATAAAAACTTCCCTAAACAGGGCTGCCTTCAGATGTCTTCTAAACATCAGATTTCTTTGACATCTGATGGGAGGAAAGACTCAAGGAAAGACTGGTGTGGAAAGCTACTCAGTGGTATTTCAGAAAGGGAAGTGTTGGAATAATAGAGAGGGGAGTAAGATTGTTTCAAAAGGATGTTGAAATACCAGAGAGTAAACACTGGTGGAACAACGTTTAAAGCTGCCTCCCACCTGTTTTTGTTTTTCTAAAAATGTGTGTCTTTCTCTCTGCAGTTTGTGCTCTGAGGCAACACTGCTGATCACCCTAGTGAGAGAAGATAAACCTCGAAAGATCCTGAGGTGATTATTTGAACATTATTCTACTCCCCTTGCGAGATGGAGCAGGACAGTCTTTACAGCAGGGGTGGAGAATCTTTTTCAGGCCAAAGTCTGCATTCTATGGAGAGCTTTCCAGGGGCCACATGCTAGTGGCGGTCAGGGGCCAGAGGCATGACTAAACTGCTAGCCTGCAGTGAGAAATAAGTTAATGAACTCTCATAAGCCCAAAGCCACCATGGAAGAGGGAGCATGCTGCTTCTCTGCGTGGTTTGCTTCTTTTGCCTTCCTTCCTACCAATGAAGTTCTGCTATGGTTGAGTAATGGTACTGCATCAGATGTGCATCAGATGTGTTTCAATAACCCAGTCACTTCTGATGCAGACAAACAGTGGAGGTTAACTCAGATGAGGTTGCCTGTTGCCACCCTCTGTGAGTTGCTTCTCCCGGCTTTCCGCCTTACTAGCAGGAGTCATGCTCAGAAAAGAAACATGATTGACAGACCAACCAGCAAAAACAAGGGTGAGGGAGGCTTCTCTGAAGGCAGACCATGCTAACTCTTACACACGTAATAACAGAGCATGAATCCAATTTTATTTTTATTTATAAATGCTGCCCTCACCTGTCAGGTGCACTGTGCCATGAAGTAAAGAATCTACCAAAGATGGGAAAGGGCTGTAGCTAATGCTATATATAGAACCTGGAACTAAGGGTGGAAGGACCTGCCTATTTTGTTTCTCTCTGTTTCTCATTTTTCCAATCTTAAATTCAGTTCTTCAAATTTATGAAGCAATCTGCAAATTATTATTTTAAATCGTGAAAATTCTTCAGCATTTATGGGCAATTTTTTCCTAATACAGAGGTACCTCAAGTTACTTCAGGTTACAAACTCCGCTAACCTGGAAGAGTTACCTCGAGTTGAGAACTTTGCCCCAGGATGAGAACGGAAATCGTGTGCTGGCTGCGCAGCGGCAGCAAGAGGCCCCATTAGTGAAAGCACGCCTCTAGTTAAGAACAGTTTCAGGTTAAGAACGGACCTCCGGAACGAATTAAGTTTCTTACTAGAGGTACCACTGTAATCACCTTTTTGTTTGCAAATTCTCAAAGCAATTTCTCCTGATAAAGTGCACATCTGTATATTTCCACCAGTATATTCATTTTTATGCGTGCGCGCGCGCACACACACACACACACACACACACGATCTATGCATTTTTGCAAACATTGTTTGATTGGAGAAGTGCATAGCAAAATTAGGCTGAGTGCAAATTTTCAAACATGGCAGTGTTTGTCTTCTCACATTGTTTTAGAAAGTGCAAATTAGATCAATTTGCTTTTAACTGTGAATTGGATTTCTCCCCTTCCCATGCCTAGGACCTTCTGTATGCAAAGCAGATACTCTTAGTGAGCGTTGGCGCTCCTTCCAAGTCATCTAGAGGATCTCTTTAGAAACATTGTGTTTCTAAAGATGAACTGCCTTTAGAAATCACTGTAGTTCTTGACCTACCCCAAAGGAGCTCACTTGACTTGATTCCTCCTTTCTTCCAGTATGAAGCACTGCTGTTTCCAAGCAAAACATCTGGCATTGCTATCCTCTTCTCTGGCCAAGTGCCTTGCTCTGAGCGACTTCACGTGAGTTTTGCTACTTCTGTCATAAACGCTAGTCCCATTCTGATTGACGAGAAACACTACTCTGATTCCTTTAAGAACAGAGTAATAATAAGACACCCTCAAAAGGTTTGCTATCTTTGCTCTTAGGTCAGCTAATAATGGCATGATGCTCAGCAGTGCAGAAGATCTACTCAGGGCCTTAAGGAAATCGGAGGGCATGCTAAGAATAGGGTAAGCATTTCTCTTCTGTCATCCAGTTGAATTCAAGCTTTCAGAGATTCCACTCTGCTTCTATTCTTTTGCTTAGGTTGTATCTAACAGTTACATGGGGTGCACAGCCGTTGCATTCCCTTGTCTCCCTAGTAACCTCTTGAAAACATGTTCTAAGATGTTGTATTTGGAATTTCTGTTGCTCTTGCAAATGTGGGTCATAAAAATGTCCTGCTACATCCTATAATTCAGCAAACACAGGTTCCCCTTAGCAGATCAGCAGACACAGTCCATTCCTCTGCATGCATTCTTAAAAGAATTCCCATTCGGGGGATTTGCTCCCATGCAACTGTAAGGACACCAGAAGAACCTGCTGGATCAGGCCAAGGGCCCATCTGGTCCAGCATCTTGTTCTCACAGTGACCAACCAGGAAGTCCATGAGCGGAAGCCTGAGTGCAACAGCATTCTGCCCACCTGGTGTTTAGAACCACTGCTGCCTTTGACAGGGAAGACGGAATGTAGCTGTAGTGATTGGTAGCCATTGATAGCTTTTTTTCCTTCCATAGATTTCTCTAATGTACTTCTAAAGCCACCAAGCTGGTGGGTGTCGCTGCATCTTTGTGTTTGTCTGGGCAATTGTCTTGGAGACCTAACTCAAATCTTAGCTGGGGGCCAAATTCCACATTATGGGTGGGGATGAAGCACTCACCAAAACCGGGTAGCTTTTGCCTTTCTCCACATCTATTGTCACATCTGTGACTAAACTTCCCAGTACTTACCTGGGAATAAGAATGGCCAGGTCAATCACTTTCCAGTCATCAACGTTCACATTATTTTTGTATGAATATTTCCCACAAAACACACACTTTTATATGCATTTTAACCTAATTATGCCATTTTATATGCATTGTTGTACATTGTTTTTGGGGCCAAGAACTATATTGCAAAATTCAGAAAATGGAAGGAAAGCTGTTTCTGGGCCATTTATTAGTCTGGGTAGTGCAAACCTAGTTGGTTTTGCTTCTAAATGCATATAAAACAAAACCCTCTGGCATCCCTGCTTGGGAATAAGCCCCACCAAACTCAGCAGGATTCACTTCTCAGTAAGTGTACATAGAACTTTGCACTGTATTTAAACAAAAAACAGCAAACAAAACCAGGTAAGGCCTCACATGGGCCAATCTTCTAACAAAGCAACATATGTGTGTCCTTTGCATTGCAGCATCGAAGAGCCTTGGGTGAAAGATGAAAGCATCATTATCCTTCTGAAGCTGGCTGCAGAAGTCCAGGGAAACATCACAGCCATCACGTAATTAGTTCCTCTGTGTGCCTGCCTTTTTGAGTTGTTCTTTGAGGAATAAAATACATGGTTGGCAGAAAAAGATGGTGAAAAAATCCTGTGAAAGCCTTAAAGGGAGATAATTTTCTCCCTAAGAACGTGTTTCTGTATTTCAACAGAGCTGGCCATGCATCTCAGAGCAAAGTCTGGATCAGGGATGGGGGATGTGTGGTTCCCCAGATCTGGTTGGACTCTTAATACCCATCATCCCTGAGCACTGACCATGTTGACTGAGGCTGATGGGAGCTGTGGTCCAAAACAGGTTAGGCTGAGGTGGGGAACTTGTTGGCTGGGACTGACAAGAGTCCAACAACATCTGGAGGGTCCTCAGGCTTCCCGTTCCTTTGCTAGGTGCAGCCACTGTGGCATACGCTCCTCTGTGGTTGTGCTGGCTGGGCTCTATAGTTCAAAACCTCTGGAGATGCCTGGCTGTCCTATGGGAAATGAATCCAGATCAAAAGGCCACAAAGTGTGTTGAAAAGATCTCTCTGGAGAAGATGGAGCTGGGTCATACCTCTTGTCTTACCTCTAGTCTTTGCCAGTGATTCCTGGATTGCAGGGGGTTAGACTAGATGGCCCTGGCAGCCCCATCCAACTCTACAGTTCTTTGATTCCTTGCATTCAAGCCCACACAATGCAAAGATGTCAGAGGGAGGAGCAACCTAGGTATCCAACGTTGGAGGTGGGGTGAAGGGCCCCATTCCACTTTCTCCACACGTTTCCACTTTCTTCTGCCGTACCCACAAGTAAAGCACGAATAGCACTTTGTTCTTCAGTTTCTGTTGGGCAGCCTCTACGAGGCAGGGCAAACTTGTTTCAACTTTCCTGATTTTTCCTTCCATTTTTGGCTAGGATAAGAAGAGACCAGGCCCTCTTCGTAGTGGAACAGGAATTTCCTCGTCAGGAGGAGAAAGTGGAGTCCGTGGTCAGCCGGTGAGGAAGTCATTGTTCTTTGGCTGGTGTGATGGTTGCTCATCGTACTATACCATGATCCCAGCGCTCATGACATAGTTAAATTTTCGTTCATTCCAATGCACTAAAGTGGCCAAATGACTACAAAGAAACCCTACATGAAGGTGGTGGTGGTGGTGATCAATTTTCAGCTTAATTTGAAAATCTTCCACTCAGGAGCCCTCCCGGTTTCCACACCCTCTGTCCATGCATAGGCAACTTCTGCTTAAACTGCCCTTCTGTGTTCTCTTTGTGTGTTGTGTGTATGTGAGGCCTGCAGGTTGCATCAGTGTGAACTGGAAGCCAAAGGAGTCTGCTTTCTGCCGAAGCTCATTGAGAAATGTAGACAACTCTGGGCGTTAAAGTGAGTGTGTGGAGGGGGGGGGCATGTCTCTCCCACAGTGGGGTTTGTTTGCTTTTTGTTTTGATCACAGAGAGCTGCTTGCTGTGCTGCTGGCTGCAGCCAAACATGAAATCACCAGACATTGGACGTCTCCATGGGGTCTCTCTAGGGACAGGTGGCATGGGAGGGTGTGAGGCATGGCCTTGCCTTAGCACTTAACGCCTCACAGGAGAGCTTTAAAGGGGTGACGAAATGAGACCATTTTGATGTTGTATGGCTTCCCTTGATATGGCTTCCCACTTTAAAAATATTGTTCTTCATAGGCCCCCAATGACACATGCCTTTATGTAACAAGGCTGCCTTATTGATATATAGCTTTCTGCTTTCCCCAGCAACTACTTGTGAATGTATCACACCTGTCCTTTTGTCATTACAGCTGGTCTCAGGTACAGTTCACTGATGCTGAAGCAGAAACCATCTCTGACACACTGCCACATTTTCCATCACTGAAGAAACTTGGGTAGGTATGAATCGCTGCATGCTCTGGATTGTGTACCTGTTGTGTGTCTCTGAGTGGCACCTTCCATGATTGAACCTCTCTAGTGTCACACGCATCTCCTCTTTATTGTGAAATGGTTTCATTTTCCATGCTGGGCTTCTCATACACAACTCTCTTCTGTGTGATCCAGAAACGCTTGAATACAGGTTTTTAGAGTTAAATACCAGTAGCGTAAATTTATGCAAAGTCCCTCCAGCTTGGCAATCTAAAACCGGTGGAGTTACGTATTATTATGACTTTAAAACTATCATGTAGGCACTAAATAATATATTTAAACAGAAACCTATTTATGAAAAATGGTTCAGTGTCTCTAAGGGAGGGGAATAACACAAGTCCAAAACGGTGTGTGTAATTTACTATGCACATGCTAACCTTTGCAGCATATCTTAAAATTTAGCAGATTTATCAGCACCCTCATCAAACTACATTTCCCAATATTCTTTTGGTGAAGCCATGATAGTTAAACTGATATAAAACTGGTGTAATCCAGGCTCAGATAATGAATGAGTTTCTAATAGTATATAGGAGGGGGCTGGGAACTTACAACTCACAAGCATGGGGGAGAGAAATCTGTTCAGTTTGTATTTTAATGTAAACCAGTCAAAATTGTACTTCTTGAACTATAATGTGAACCAAAACACAGCTCTCCAATTTGTGCAGGGGTTGCATTCCTGGCACCTGCACACGTCAACAGAGCATGCATAAGCCCACCCTGCCCCACCCCTGTTCCGCCCTCTTCCAGGTCCAAAACTACCCATGCATTGGCAGCCACATGTCAGTTGGATGTGCGCAAAATGGTCACTGCCTGTACTCTGCATTAAGATTGAGTGTTTGTTTGTTTGTTTGTTTGTGCCATGGCCTCTTGACATTTTATAGCCACGTGGTGACATCTTACATTTATGTCTCATTTGCCATCCTGTGGTTGCAAATGACTGGGCCAGGTTACATTCAGTGGACAGAAAGCTGCTGACTACCCTAAACCTGCAATGGTTTTGAATTTCCAGGTTAACCTGTTGCAGTTTCTTCCCCCCCGGAATGGAGCACCTGGCTGAAGCATTGCATCAGTGCCACACTATTGAAGACATTGAGTAAGTTTGATATCCAGTATGTGAGTGACTGTGGTGGGCATCTCTTTTTACCCCTGGGTAAAATAAATCACAGGCCTTCTGAAAACTGCCTCTGGAAAGATGGCGGCAGAGAGGTCAACAAGCAAGCTAACACACCCACACCCATAAAATGAAGGAACAAAATCAGTTTTGATAACACCTGGGCAACCACGGAAATCTTAACCTGATACCAAAAAGATGCCAATGTCAGTGTCAGATGCATCTCCTTAAAGAGGCCAGGCCAAAGTCAGGGCACCACCATAGAAAAGGCCCTCCGCTTGGCGCCTAAACTAACCTGCCCCTGCTTCTAAAGGGGCTTGGAGAATGGCCTCTACAGAAGCCCTTGACCCACCAGAAGACTGGTATCTGGGCCCCAGGCTCTTATTCCATTACCTCGAATTGCCATTTCCTCTCCCTCCTGCACAGTTAGCTGCAAACTGAATATGTAACTCTGCTCCTTTCTAGCTTTTCCAAAAGTGAACTTGGCATGGACATCAGTGCTCTGATGAACGCTCTGGAGGGAAAACTTCACCTGAAGAGCATAAAGTAAGTGGCCTTTCAGTTGGCCTTAGGTTAGGACTAGAAGTGATGTGTAATGCGATCCTGTATTCTCTGGGGATCTGGAGCTCTCCCCAGACCCAGCCTCCTTCAGTAGTTTTGCATAGCTGGAGTGGGGTCTTGAACTCTGGTTGAAGAATAGAGAGGGGCGTGTGTAGAAACTCGCCTGTTCTACCAAGGTAAAATGGCTTTGCCTACTTTTGCCTATAGCTCAGCCCACCAGTTGCACATGGCTCTCAGAAGGCTGCCCAGGTGGGACTGTGTCCTTCATTCTCCACTTCATTGGGGTATCCTACTTGCATGTGAGTTACAGTGTGGCATAATGCCACATGGATAGAAAAAAGTTTTTCTCCCTCTCTTATGACACCTGGAACTCATGGACACCCAATGAAGCTGAATATTGGAAGAATCAGGCCAGATAAAAGAAAGTCCTCCTTCACACAGTAGAGAGTTAAATTACAGAACTCACTCCTACAGGATGGTCATCAACCTTGATGACTTTAAAAGAGGATTAGACAAATTCAGGGAGGAGAGGGCCGTCCATGGCTACTAACCATGATGGCTATACTCTGCCTGCACAGTTGGAGGCAATAATGCTTCTGAAGATCAGTTGCTGGGATCCACAGGAAGGGAGAGTGCTCTCGTGCTCAAATCCTGCACCTGTTTTGCCACTGTGGAATATGTGGGCCATTGGCCTGATCCAGCAGACTCGTCTTATATTCTTAATGTTCATGGAGTAAAAGGTCCAGGCATAAACTGGAATAGAAGGCAAGTTCTGGACCTTGAACAAAGACCAGGGTGTAGATTCAGGACCACGGACAGTGGTCCAGCAGGTGAGGCAGAAAATCTCACTGCAGTGCTTTGGAGCAACTTTATAGCCTGGGCCAGGTAATCAAGATGGAAGCTCTGCCCTCTGAGTGCTGCACCCGGCCAGTTAAGGAGCCAGTACTCCTTTTCTGCTGCCATTGGATTTTTCTTGGCATTGAGGATCCAAGGATCTGACTGACACAAGAGCTGCTGCCAGAGGGTCCAGAAGCCACCTTAGATGTGGTTCCTTGCACGACCTGCTGCTCAGGATGCCTAGAGACTCTTGGGCTGGGGCTTTGTTTAGGAGTTTATATTGCAGTCAAGATTTAACTGTGGATATGCTCGGTTTTTGCTGCTGTTGGTATTATGCTTTTGCATTTTTATTAGGAATTATGTGGAGGTTCTTTTATTGTATGCTTATTGAGATGTTTTCATTTCTTCTTTGTGACTTCTTGCGTTTTGTTAAGTGTTTGTAATTATGTAAGTTTTTTGAGCATGGTTTGAGTATGAAAAGGTGGCATACAAATAAATAATTTGCATCATTTGTATCAACAGGGACTAGCCACAAAGGCTATGTTCCACCCAGTCGGATGCATTATGCAATATCAGTTGCTGGGAACTTTAGATGGGCAGAGTTCTGTTGCACTTCTGTCCTGCTTGTGGGCCTTGCAGAGGCACCTGGCTGGCCACTGGGAGAACTAGATGCTGGACTAGACAGGCCATTGGGCTGATTCAGGGGGCTGTTCTAATGTTCTGACAATGATATTCTTATTTACCTCTTAGCCTTGGCTCTCTGAATCTCAGCGATGCAGATATCCTCAATCTGACCTCCAGACTCTCAGCAATGCCTTTCCTGAAAAGACTCATGTAAGTATGTCTATGGGTAGAGGTTTGATGCAGCAACAAAAGATATTTATTTTGTTCAGACCTGCCAGTTTCAGCGGCTGGCAATATGCAAGAGAACTTTAATTTGCCCAGGCCAAGGAATCAGGTAGCTTCTTACCTGCAGTTGGAGCGAGTGCTGAGCCAGAATCCATGGTCCAATTTTTCAAAAGTTTTCTTCCCCTGTGAAAGGGGCTTCTGTTTACTGGCCTCAGACTTAGGGTGCTTTAGAATTTATTTAGATTAAAAAATAATAATTTTGGAAGGCATGGGGTCGGGCTAAGGAATGAACACAGAAGAAATTGATGTGGATAGGACATTGATGTCCATTCCTGCTGTGAAGGCCACTGTTACCCAGCATGAAACAAGTGTTCTGAGAAGTTTGGGCCTTTTGGGACCATTCAGAATAATTGACTCATGTTTCATATTTCATGACTGTTTTCCAGTTTGAATAAAAACCGTCTTGGTGGCGAGTCTTGTTCACACCTTGCACAAGTTTTGAAGAATGCCATTCACATGGGAAAAATTGAGTAAGTTCATGTTTTCTGCTCATGTCTGCCACTTTAACACATCCCCTCCCAACATCCAGCTTCATTGTCAGAATTAATAACGAAAGGAGAACATGTCTTAATTAATTTTCTCTCTTTTTTCCAAAGCAGTGGGTGGCAGAGGGGCACTGGGATTACCTAGGCAGCTGCTAAGAGGCAAGGGGTGGCAGTGGGGCACTGGAGGGGCAAGTGACTATCAGATGTTGAAAAGCAGGTATCACTAGATCAAGTTACTCAGTTTTGTTGCATTAGGTAAACTAAAAATAGATTTAATTGGGTTTTGAAACAGTGAAATGTTCTCTGAAGCTCGACATACATGAGCCAGAACACAATGTCATGAACACGGTGGATGTTTTCTTTAATCTTATGAGTTGTCGGGTTTCTTTCAAAGTTTGAGCCACAACAAGATTGATGATGCTGGCATAAAAGAAATCGCTATGGCCATTCCAGAAATGCAGAGCGTGAAGCAAATCGAGTGAGTTTCTTGTGTCTGTATCAACCCAGTGAGGGACTACAGATTGTAGTCTGGGCGGAGGAGGAATTCCTGGTCCTCTGCCCACCCCACCAAATCCAGCTCTCACAGATTAGCTACAGTTCTGTGATATTAAGCAGCTTCCTCTGTTGTTCCTCTTTCAGCCTCTCTAGCAACAGCATTGGTTCTGCCGGTGGACAGTGTTTTGTGGAGGCTCTGAAGCACAGTGAGAACCTGGAGGTGCTCAAGTAAGCTCAGATCTTCTCCTGGGGATTTTCATCAATTCCCTTTCAAAATAACCAGGTTCCTCAGAAAAGCGTTTCCCCGGGCTGTTCATACGGGGGGCTGGCTGTTGAAGAATCCATGTCCACACCCATGAATATTCTGTGAAATGGTGCGCTCCTTTCTCCTACGAATGCAGCTGGTGCCAGCTCCAGGTTTGTCGCTTGGATTTGGGCAAGGAGCCCTCAGTGGGCTCCCTCCTCCTCCTCCTCCTCCTCCTCCTCCCACCCATCCCCAGCTCATGTGTGCTGTCTTCTTCTGGACCGGAGTGCCTGAACCCCAGCGGTGGTGTGCAGAAGAGGCTGCAGGACCAGGAACCGCAATATCAAAATGTTTCCTCGGTCTGATAATCTGATAATCCTCAATTTGATAATCTGATAATGCCGATATTCTTTAATTGGACTTGGGGTTTTTTTTTAACCTATGTGCAACTGTTACGCTACGTGGCTATTTTATAGTTCAGTTTCAGTTTTTCAACTTTTAATTTTAATATCATTGTTCATTGTTATCATTGTTCTCTCTGTTTCATATACATTATACAACTAATTTTTTTAAAAAAAAGTTTTCTCAATAAAGTTTCACATTGCACTTCTTTTCAGACTATCTGGGAACAATATTGGAAACGAGACGCTGGAAAAACTGGCTCCAGTTCTGCCCAACTTGCACTGCCTGAAGGTCCTTCAGTAAGTATCCTGGTTCAGGATGGACAGATCGGTCCAGTTTTCACCTGTGTCAGAGTTTGGGGAGTTTTTTCCTGCCTTCCCTCATTTGGTCTGCTCCATCCAGGATGTTCTCCACACTCATCATTCAGCAAATGTACAACCTGTGAGCCTGTGTACACAAATAGTTGAGCTGTACAAATCAACATGTGTTCACCCTTTTCGCACAAACGCTAGGCAAGGGCCTTCCCCACTTACCATCCTCTTCTTTCCTCAGCCTGGCATCCTGTGGCTTTGACTCGGAGGGAGTGGTTTGTTTGGCCAGAGTCCTCTTCCATTGTCCACAAATAGAGGAAATCAGGTGAGTGCATCTTGTAGGGAAGGAAATGAAAATAGGAAGGAAAAACCAGTAACACATGGGCTCTTGACATAGAATCATAGAACTGTAGAATTGGAAGGGATTCCCAAGAATCATCTAGTCCAACCCCTCTGCAATGCAGGACTCCTAGCTAAAGGATCCCTGACAGATGGCTGTCCAACATCTGTTTTAAAATCTTCCAAAGATGGAGAACCCACTACCTTCCAAGGGAGTACATTCCACTGTCAAACAGCTCTTACAATCACAAAACATGTCCTAATTTTTGGTTGGGATCTCCTTCTTTGTCGTTTAGATCCATTGGTTTGGATCCTGCCCTCCAGAGCAGCAAAAAACAAGCTTGCTTTGTCTCCCATGTGACATGTTTTGGAAGTCATCTGCCAGTCAAAAAGCAATTGTGAATGTTATCCTCCAAGTATTATGTTTTTTAAAACAAACAGCATGATTTTAAAATAAAAATAATAAAATAGTTCAATCTGATCACCTTTCCTGTTTTTTACCTTGCAGTTTGTCCGAAAACAGCATTGGGCACAAGGGTGCCATGGCACTCGCAGAACACCTGCCACAGCCCTCCTCAAAACTCAGGAAGATTGAGTAGGTCCACACCTGTTTTCATCTGGCTTAAATCTAACTAAGCCATCTGCATTGTGTTTGTGTGTGTGTGTGTGTGTAAGCTTTTTGTACACTATAGTTTTGTGGGTCTTTGGCTGAAAAGCAGCAGAGAAATAAATAGCACCATAGTGAAGGAAGCTGACTTTATATCAGGTTAGGCCATTTATCCATCTAGCTGAGTAGTATATATTCTAAGAAGCCCCTCACCCAAGCCTTTTAATTGGAGATCCTGCCAGGGATTGAACCAGAGTGCACCGTTTCCTATGCAGGTTTCAAATCCATCTTTAATATGTCCTGTTTTTTATTTATTTCTAAATCTTAATTGACATTTGTTGCCAAGTATACTAAAAATAAAATATAAAAACCAATCAGAACACTCATAGTCCACCAAGCCAAATCAAAATGTAGACTGGGTGTCTCCCCACAAATTCTGGCATTACAACAAGAGAGTTGGACATCATTTTAGAGACTCAAAAGAAAAATTAGTAGCACCGTCAAATTTTAATGTGCTGTTTTTGCCTTGGCATTTATAGTTTTCAGGCCAGTAACCAACAATGCTGGGAATTGTATTCAGCTGCATAGATTTCTGAGAGGCAGGACAATCACAAAGGTTATGAGAGGGCACCATCAAATGTACTTTTCAGTTTGACTCCCCTCAAACGTCTGGTCCCCCCCCCCAGGTTAACTTTTCTGCTACAGCCAAACTTTGGTCCACCTGCCTTTGAAAGAAGCTGTGCTGTTTATGAATACAAAGTTGTGTTCAGTGTGAACTGAGGAGCAAGGCTAATCTGTTTTAAAATAATAAGGAAGGGTGGACCCTAAGAGAAGTTTCCTCCTCTCACAAATCTGCTCTTTTGAGCTTTTCACCTGGGAAAGCCACAACTCTAAAATTAGTGTGGGAACTGGTTTCCATTTTGCAATGTGTTCTTTCTAGACTGAAGGTCTGCGGCCTCATCGACTACACTTCTAAGAGTCTCATCCTTGGTGTCAGCCAGTGCCCTCTTCTGGAAGAGATTATGTGAGTACTAGGGGCTGCTGCTCCTGCTTCCTCCACTTACAAGCCACTCCTGGCCTCCAATCCCTCTTTCCCCCACACCTGGCCAAGCCCTCCTCATTTTGCACCTCACCCTGTTTGCCTATCCCCTCCCAGGTTGTCCCAAGCCTCCTCTTCATCCCTTGCAGCTTGCCACAACCACCCCCTTTTTAAAAGAGTGGGGAGGTGCTTCAGATAATGGTTTTCTGAAGTGCCTCCCCCTTTGTTAAACCTCCCTGCAGCCACATTAAAAAGATATTTAGCGTCTCCCCCCTCCCATCTCAGCCCACGTGGGCCATCTGCCACAGTGTCGTTATACTGGAGTTGTTGTGGCCACCTATCTACAACCACGCAAACAGCAGTGTGACAACAGCCTTACATGTTTTGGTATATAGAAAGATAAACAGACTTGTGGCTGTGGCTTGTGGTCCAGAGCTAATCTGTCCATTGCTGACATAGATGCTCCTTTCCTTGTTCAGTAGCATCTAGATCAGGCATGAAGAACCCCAGGCCATGCCTGAATTAAACCCAAACAGATCCACCTCCAGAGGACTTCATTCACTGCTTCTCTTTGTGCCCCCTAATTTCCTAATTGATATTCACCAGGAATATCACAAAGAAAACATTTGTTTGTCTTGCCAAAACAATCAGAGAATGCATTAAACAAATGCGCTTGATTCATCCCTTGTCTAGGGAAGAAAATATTCAACCAAATGATTAAAATTACATGTTTCAATTTAGAAATGCATCAGAAATTGATAGGAGGCACGGGCAGAGCAGTGGCTCATGCAGAGACAAACAGGCAGCTACCTCTGTGGGTAGATTATTCTCCTATGCTTTGGGAGTGGTAGAATGATCTGGCCACACGCAATTCAGACACATGGCAGAATGACCTACTTCTAGCAGGAGCTGACTGAAGGAAGGCAAGATCAGAGCAGTGAATCATGCAGAGAAGCAGCAGGCAACTCTGTGATTCGGTGGACTCACGGAGAGCCAGTGTTTACTTTATTTCTCTTGCAGTATGCTCATTTGCTGCTACAGCATCTTCTATGTGCTTGATCTTCAGGTCCCCACTGACTCAAACACCTATTGAATTCATGCCTAGTTGGGTTTTCAGTCATTAATCATTTTCCTCATCTTTAGCCTGTCCTGGAACAAACTTGGTGATGAAAGTGCTCTGGAGCTGGCCAAGGTTCTCCCTCGGATGGCAAAGTTGAAAGTACTGGAGTGAGTACAAGGAATCATCAACCCAGAGTCCTTCACCAAAAACCAATTAGAGCCTAGCTGAGCTTTCTTTTTTTGGGGGGGGGGGAATGTTGATAGCGGGATGAAAGTTTAGGAGGGGAGATTTTCCCAGGGGGCAGGAAGAAAATATTGGGCGTGGCAGCGGTCTCCAGGAAAGCAGCAGTATTCTTTTTTCTTTCTTTTGAAAAGTTTTTCTGTAACTCAGTTGCTCAGCTCTCACCTGCCAGAGGCAGAACAGCACCTGCAAGAAATCTTTTAGCATGGCAGTAAATAATCTCTGGAACTCCCTGCCCCTTGATAGTTTGTTGGATAGTTTTCAACATCTGCTGAAAATTTGTATGTGCAGGTCTATCCAGATGTGTACTTTTATTATGTGCATTTGTTTTTAAAATTTGTGGATTTTATCTACGTTCTGATCATTTTTATTGCCTGCTATTTAAAATATTTTTATTGCTTTTTATTTTTTAAAATTGAATATTTTCTGTAAACCACTTAGAGATGCTTTCAATTGAGCAGTATATAAATATTGCTAAATAAGGAAATAAATGGTGCCCATTCCTCCACCAGTCAAAGCACTTACTGCCTAAGCACATTCCAGATACTTTGGTACCTTAGGCACTCCCCCCCCCCCAAAAAAAAGCCTTGTCCTCTTCCCTGGCAGTAAAAATACAACAATAATAAATGAAACAACTCACACTTGGCTGCCTTTTCATGACACCCCAAATCTGCTTCCTGGTGCAGCTGCCTCACTCCGCCCTATGAGAGTGACCTGCTGTTTTCCTGGTAAACTGAGAATGAGCTTTATTAACCACCAACCCTCAAATTTGGGATCCTCTCCTCTCCAAACTGGTGTCAAAGTTTTGTCCTCATTTTGTGCCATTTTGTACTGCAAACTCTCCATTTTGTACCCCACCCCCAACTGAGTGATCGATACTTACAAATCTAACATGTTGGATTTTGGGGTGTTACCAGGGTTCATAGTTAACACTCAAAAATCCAACATTGTCATATTCATAAAGCTCTGAGAATGGGCACCTGGTCGACCCGAGTGCTGGACCAGATGGACCTTTGGCCCTGATCCAGCTACAGGCCTCTTCCTATGGAGGAGGAGGAAAGAGAAAGAGCACCCTTTTGGTCCTGAAAGATGGGGATGCGTATTGAGGTATATACTTTGTATAGGACAATGGCTTGGATGTTTTCCCCAAGCCAAATTGCTGGAGATGGAGAGAGTGAGCATGTGTATGTATGTATGTGTGGGGTTCTGAGTCGGTGGCACACCCACTTTGACCACACCTACTTTTGTCTCGGCCATCCCAGGAATTGGCCAAGAGTAAGGATGGTAAGGGGGACGCGGGTGGCGCTGTGGGTAAAAGCCTCAGCGCCTAGGACTTGCTGATCGAAAGGTTGGCGGTTCGAATCCCCGCAGCGGGGTGCGCTCCCGTTGCTCGGTCCCAGCGCCTGCCAACCTAGCAGTTCGAAAGCACCCCCGGGTGCAAGTAGATAAATAGGGACCGCTCTGGCGGGAAGGTAAACGGCGTTTCCGTGTGCGGCTCTGGCTCGCCAGAGCAGCGATGTCACGCTGGCCACGTGACCCGGAAGTGTCTCTGGACAGTGCTGGCCCCCGGCCTCTTGAGTGAGATGGGCACAAAACCTAGAGTCTGTCAAGACTGGCCCGTACGGGCAGGGGTACCTTTACCTTTACCTTTAAGGATGGTGAACCTGTGGTGCTCAGGATGTTGTTGGATTCCAGCTCCCACCATCCCTGACCGCTGGGAATGCTGGTGGAGTCTAACAATGTCTGGAGAGCCAAAGGTTCCCCATATCTGGCTAAGAAGGGATACAGGCATTGGGCCCAGAGCTGTTCTCCAAACCCAGGCCTTAAGCGGCACTAAATAATTTCTGACTTTTTTGTTCTGTTCAGGAGAGGAGAGGCGGCGATCAGTTTCCCATGATACTTAGCCTAGTTATATCTTTGCTTTTCTTTGGCTTCTTTTAAACAGCCTGGACAACAACTACATTACTGCTTGTGGGGCCAGAAGGCTCACAAAGGAACTTGCACAGTGTCAAGGAATCCAGATAATACGGTGAGTCCTCTGCAAAAGTTACATCAGCTTCCTAACCACTAGGAGGTGCTGTATTTATTTATAGTGAGCAAGGCTAGTAGGCTCCCAGGATTAACTGCTTAAAGCTCATGGTTGGATCTGGAGACCCACCTTTCGTCCACCTTTAGTCTTACTAGTGCTAGTATTGTTTTGATTTATTATCCACCTTCACCCTAAGGTGCCAGGGCAGCTGGTGATGATTTATCTCACTGGAAAGCTGCTGGAAATTGGAGAAGTGCCCAACTTTTTATTAAGTAACATTTTTATTTAACAGCATTTATCTATGTGTGGGTGTGGGTTAAACCACAGAGCCTAGGGCTTGCCGATCAGAAGGTTGGCGATTCGAATCCCCGCGACGGGGTGAGCTCCCGTTGCTCGGTTCCTGCTCCTGCCAACCTAGCAGTTCGAAAGCACATTAAAGTGCAAGTAGATAAATAGGTACCGCTCCGGCGGGAAGGCAAACGGCGTTTCCATGCGCTGCTCTGGTTCGCCAGAAGCGGCATAGTCATGCTGGCCACATGACTCGGAAGCTGTACGCCGGCTCCCTCGGCCAATAAAGCGAGATGAGCGCCGCAACCCCAGAGTCGGCCACGACTGGACCTAATGGTCAGGGGTCCCTTTACCTTTGCTATCTATGTGTTATGGAGAGAAAGACCGCTAAGCAGTTTACAACACTAAAATATTTGTTAAAAATACAAATAAAAACAAACATTAAAAAAACAACTGCATTAAAAAAAAGTGGAAATGCTAAAATTACATGTTGGTAGGGCAGCTTGCTGAAACAAAAAAGCTTTTATCAGGTGCCAACAGCATTCCAGCAAAGGTGCCTGCCTCCTGTCAATGAGCAGGGAGTTCCATACTTTCTCTCTCTTTGTCTTTTCTAGTCTGTGGCACAATCAGATACCGAGCGATGTTGAACAAAAGCTGAGGAAGGAAGAGCCACGGCTGCATTTTGCCTTCTTTTGATGAACCAGCAGGGAGGGAATCTGGCTCCTGCCAGGCATGGTTTTGCTGCTGGCCAAGGAAAAGAAGGAAACTGAGCAGGATTCTGGGCTAGCACATAGGTACTGCAACTTCTAAAGAGAAACAGAAGCTGCATGATTATACTTCATCCTCGTGGCCAGAAATGAACAGCTTCTGCTTCCTCTGCTTCTTTGGCGACCACTCGTAGCCGAGTAAAATTGTCTTCCATGAACACGGTATTAACAGTGAGTCCATAAGTGACTGTGGAGGCCAAGTCAGGATCCACACGTCTTTCCACAGTGGGGACATAGGATTCCGGGCGGGAGTTGGTCATAGTGAGGGTTTGCCAAATGTAAGTGACAGCTTACAAAAGAGTAGAATGCTCACTTGGAGAAGCAGGATCTTTGCCTTGGCCTGATTGACGGGAGCATCTTGCAAGAAATCCCAAAGTTCATCTGTGGCAAGTCTGAGACTGGGCTATGCTTGTTTGGCACTGAAAATACCACCGTCTTCCATCAAGGTGAATACTGATTAAGAAAAACTGGATCCTGCAACATGTATTGTGGACTCTTGTTTGCTTTTGCTTTATTTATTTCACTGGTACTTATTTTGCTTGCGTGGAAGAAAGCGGTGCAGGTGTGGGGACGGGACTGCACCTTCAGCCAACCTTCTGACTTTCGAGACTTCACCAGGATGAACCCACTTTGATGACTGCTGTCACAAACATAAGGACTAGAAACTTGCAGGGCATTTAAAAAATGAAAAGAAAAACAGAGATCGTCAGGAAGCTGGATTCTGTACCTAGTATCACCTTTTACACTTTTCCTGCACGTGTGTAGAATTCCACACCTCCTTAGTTTTCAGGATGAATAGGGAAGAAATTCAATTCTCTGCATTTTGCAATGCAGTTCTGCAAGCAAGTTGTATGGAAATGAATATGATTAGGGTAAAGTGTGCATGAAAATGCATATATCGGTGACATTGCATTTTTGCTTTGCAAAATTGTGTATATTAGGCAAAATGGTGTTTGAACATGTATGTTAGGGATAAACTGTTGATGAATTTTCATGAAGACTTTTTTTAAAAAAATGCAAATGGCTTTAGAAATGTGGAGAACCAAATTTAATATTGGAAAACAGAAAGAAACTAGAATGGACAGATATGCCCATCCTTAGTTTTCACATATCACAACCATGACCATTCATTACTGTGGTTCTTCAACCGCTTGGCTTGGATACAGTAAAATCTCGGAATGGACACCTTCCTGTTTTAAAGATCTTGCAAGCGGGGTTGATGGTGAGCAGAAATCTACAGATTCCTTCAGTTTCTTGACTGATTAACTCGATATACCCACTAGAGGGCACTGTGTCCTTATGGAAATGCCAGCTTTTTTTCCAGTTAAAAGGTAGGTGTGGTCTAGAGAAGAAAACCTCAGAACTTAATACTGTACAGTCTCACTCAAAATCAGTGCTGATGCTGGTGTCACTTCTTCTCAGGCAGTGGAGGTGGGAGGGCAGGGGGCACTTCCTGTTTTGCCTCAAGTGGCAAAATGAGACACACCACCCCTGATTCCGGTGGGTTTTAGTTCATTTCCAGCCTATCAGGTTTTGTCTGTAGTGCCTTATCTGATGTGAGCCCACCCACAGCAGGTTACGTAACTACACCTGAACCTCAGATGCTCTAAAACAGGGGTGGCTAACCTGTGACTCTCTAGATGTTGTTGGACTCCAACCCACCTGCCCCAGTGGTCAAGGATAGTGGCAGGAGCTCTGGTCCACCAGTGTCTGAAAAGCCACAACTTTCCCACCCTGCTCTAAAACCTTTGACATGCAGGTTTCCTATAGATGCAGCTTGGGATGTGTGAGAAAACCCTAAATTCCCAGCAATGCGATTGAATCCCTGTTGTGAAATGCCAACAGCCAATAAGTGTCAGATGTATCCTGTGCCTTCTTTCCTTTTCCCTTTCTACTGGCTACTGGGCTACAATTTGTACCAGTTGCTATTCTTAGTCTCCACTTTTGCCCTTTTCCTACACAAGCATCAAACACAGGCTGGATGCTTGGACATTGCCTACAGACAGGCAAAGAGCACTGTAGGTTCTGGCCTTTTAGCCTCTCTTTTGCTTCTGATTTGCTTAGGCAAATGCTGGAACCGAACTTTGCAATACAAAGATTTGGTGCCTGCCTGTCTACCTCAAGTAGTGCGGGCCAGTGTGGTGTAGTGGTTAAGAGCAGTAGTCTCGTAATCTGGGGAACCGGGTTCGCATCTCTGCTCCTCCACATGCAGCTGCTGGGTGACCTTGGGCCAGTCACACTTCTCTGAAGTCTCAGCCTCACTCACCTCACAGAGTGTTTGTTGTGAAGGAGGAAGGGAAAGGAGAATGTCAGCCGCTTTGAGACTCCTTCGGGTAGTGATAAAGCGGGATATCAAATCCAAATCCAAACAATGCTCCAAGGACATGGCAGGTGGAAGTATCATCTCTCTCTATCTGTTGAGCTGGGAGCTGGGAAATTACATTACAAACACTTGTTTGCATTTGTGGCTAGGATGGTGCTGCTTCTGTTCAAATGTTTCATGCCAAGGAAAGTGGTAATCAGCACTAGAATTTTGTGCCACAATTCCCTGCAAGAATTTCCAGATAGGTCTATTGCTTTGAATAGGTTTGGCAGAAAGATAAAAGGGGGAAATGCATGACCCTCTGGAAAGTTTACAAAGATAGGTGCCAGGAGACATCATGAAGTTGTTACAGTAAGTGCCACACTATAACAACAAAAAGAGGTGCCAGTACTGCGTACCCTTGAGCACCCCCTTAACAAAACTTACTACTTTATGTATTTTGTGTTTTATGCTGTGAACTGCCCTGTGGGCTCTTGATGAAGCGGGGGGATTTAAATTTAATAATTTCAAATAATTCACTTGGAACTGAGCTAATGCATTTGCTGAACAAATACAGTCAAACCTCGGTTTTCAAGCAGCTCCATTTTCGAAAGTTTTGGTTCCCTGACACCGAAAACCTGGAAGCAAATGCGCTGGCTTTTGAACCGTTTGTCAGACCCTGAACGTTTGACGCTGCTTCTGCTTGAGTGCAAGAAGCTCTTGCAACCAATTGGAAGCCGTGTCTCGGTTGTTGAACGTTTTGGAAGTCAAACTGTCTTCCTGAACGGATTATGTTTGACAACCAAGGTTTGATTGTAGACATTTTTGGTAGGACTCGCTCGCTGCTGTTGTTTGCATCTATCCTGAGAGACAATGGAGATGGAGTGTGCCTCTGGGTGGGGAGTGAAGTTAAATCGCTGCGTTAACAGCACTGAAGTGACCTCCCTGGACCACAAGCCTGGGCAGTGTGTATGGAGGTCCTGGGCTGCCCAGACCCCACTCTGGGACTCTCTGATGTAGTCCAAAAGAAGGCAGCGCAATACGTTTGCCATCAGCTTGGCTACAGGAGTTGCCGGAAGCTGCCATCCAACTGTGTTAGGGACTCCACTCTGGATTTGCGTAGCGTTTACTCCTTAGAATTTTCTTCTCCCAAAGATATCCCGCAAGGCAGCAGAAGTTTAGGATCAGAGTTTTCCTTCTGCTGTATGGGCTGCCTTCCCAGGTTGATGAGCCCCATCTGCCCCTCACTTCTCTCTACAGCATGTGCAGAAACAGCCTTCTTGACCGTTGACCCCACTGTTGGTCTAGTCCACTGGAGCCTGTCTTCACATGCATCCCTAACTCACCGAGAGTTTGAGACCCTCATCTGGTTTAGCAGTTTCCTGGGACGAAGCCTGAAACTCAATGAATTGAACTGATTGAGCCTGAAAACGAATCTTAAAGGGAGTCAGTGTGCTATTGTGGAAAAAGACCAGGACGAGGGAGAAACCAGGGAAAGAGGTCCTGAGGGCAAGAGGAACTCTCCCTTCCTGTGTTTCCCAGCTGCTGGTATTTAGACGCATTCCTCGACAGCTCCCTCCTCCACGAATTTGTTTAACCCTCTAAGTTGGCGGCCATCGCCGCCTCCTGTGGGAGGGAGTTCCGCTGCTTAACTGCACAGTTAAGCAAAGCAGGGGGCTTTGAGCCGAAGCTATGCGGCCTTCTGTACTCGGGAAAAGTCCACGTCTGTTGCGCCATCAGAGGAGACGTCCCGCTCCGCTAGGAAGGAAGCCTCCCCCCGCCGGACTTTCCTTCCGAGTCCCGTTCCAGTCGGGCTCCGGCTGGTGACTACGAGCTTTCCTTGCGCCGCCCCGAGGGGCTGCCTGCCTGGGGCCTTGATCGGCGCAGAAGGGGAGTATCCCGAGCGGCGGAGGGAGGCGGGACGGGCGGGACGAGATTCCGGAGATTTTGGCGCCTCCGCCCCCCGGGAGGGGCCGAGCTCCCGCCCGCCAGCCCGCCCCTTGCTCGCCCGCCCGCTTTCCGGGTGGGCGCCGTCGACGCCGCCGCCTGGTGCACTCGGGGCTGACCGGAGCGCAGCGCCTGCACAGCGACGCGCCTCCACCGCCTACCGCCACCGCTGCTCACCGACGGCTCTTTCCCGAGGGCTCCTCCGCCCAGGCGAGGCTGGGCGAGGCGGGAGCCCAGCTGGGAGGAGTCGCCGATTCCGCTGTTGCTGCTGGTGGTTGGCGCTCGGAGAAGACGACAGGCAGCGGGCGAGGGAGCGATCTGCCGGGCAGCGGCGCTGCTCTCCGCCGGGAGACTCCGCTGAAGCGCGCTCGGCTCCCTGCGCCGAGGCAAACGGCCGCTTGGGCTCGCCCTGCCCGCGGTGAGGAGCGCCCGAGCGGTGAGTACCAGGCAAGGGACGAGGGGTGCGTGTGGGACTGGGGACCCCCTCCCTGTGCCATTGCGCCGCGATCCCTTCCCAAGGCTTGGGATTTTGCGCGCGCTCTCTCTCTCCAGCTTGCAGGCTGCCTCTTTTTGCTTCTAGGAGTTCTGTTCACACGTGCCGCCCTACCAGACGCGAGTTTGCCACGGAACGGGCGCTCGTGGAGCCCCCTCCCCATGCCATATCTAGCTCACACACGTGTTCGGCGAACACAAGTTTGCCCCCACCTGTTGGTCTCGTGTTTCCAAGGCCAGTGTTTTAAAACACAGCTTATTGGGTTCGTTTATTTTCTGAAGAACGGGTTGCGTGTGCGCCGAGACTCGGGAGCCGCCTGTTTTGGTTCGGGGTGAGCCTGCAATTCTGCATGCTTCTGCCTTGGGGGATGCTGAGGAGAATGGCTGAAAAATGGGAGAGAAACGTTGGAGACAACGAAGCAGAACCCTGGAGCAGAGACACGTTGGAG